GGCTGAACTGTGCCTTCAGACGAACCTGTGCCAACTGCTTCTTCAAAATAAGTTACAAGTCATCTAACATTTGTTCTTTGGTTCTGTTGAGTATTTTAATAACTGGCTCATTAGCCATGGATGGTTCTTCATGGCCTGATGTCTAATATCTTGAAGATCACTGTTTCGTATGTTTTGTCCAGTGTTTTAATTGTTCCAGGGAAGAGAATGAATTAGATCCTTGTTAATCCATTTTAGCCAGAAGCCAGGAATCATTTTGCTGAGTTAGATTTTTATTATAGTGGAATTTGCATGGTAATAAAATAAAGTAGGTAGAACTGACACAGTAAAGAGCTTGCAGGATTCTTTAGGATAGTGGTTCTCAAATTTGAGCCTATGTGAGAACCACATGAAAGGTTTGTTAAAACACATTACTGAGTCCACCCTCTTCATGAATTTCATAGGTGATACTGATGTTGCTGGTTCTGATACCATATTCTGAATGTCAGTGCTTCTAGATGTGAGTCTGCAAACTTTTGCTGTAAATGATAAATACTTCAGGCTTTTTAAGCCATACACTCTTTGTCACAGCTACTTAACTCTGTCACTATAGGGTAAAATAGCCATGGACAATTTATAAATGAATGAATGTCAGCTGTGTTCCAATAAAACTTTATTTACAAAAAAAAAATAGGCTTACCCCTGGTTTAGGAGAACTGAACCGTTGACTCTGTTGGATACTATAGTAAGTATGGCTACTCTGATTCAGAGCAAAGGGGAAGTCATTCATTCTAGAACAAAACTAGTCCCTTTATGTAGAATTTGATGGTTGCTGTACATCAGGATGATATGGTAGACAAGGTGGTGTCTGCCTTGTAGGCTCTCTTTCTATCTAACACGGTGAAATGAAACAGAATGCTACTGTGGACATACAAAGTAAAAACAATCCCTCTTGCTTCCTCCTGCACAAATACATCCAGGACTGGCTCCATAATTTGCAGGCTCAGTGCAAAATGAAAATGCAGGGACCCTTGTTCAAACATTATTAAGAATTTAAAGATGGCAACAGCAGAGCATTAAACCAAGCACAGGGCCCCACAAGACTGCACAAGTCACATGCCTATGAGCCAGCATGGACACATATCACCATCGTGGCCCCCACCACCACCTCTGTCACATACACACATACATGTTTTTCAAGTGAGAAATGCTGTTAATGTGAGGACACTAACAGTATTGATATCCATATTTAGAAAACATGTTTAGGTTTTTCTTACTTTGTTTTTGTAATCCTCACCAGAGGATATTTTTCCATTTATTTTCAGACAGAGTGGGAAGAAGAGAGAGAGAAACATCGATATGAGAGGGACACACTGATTGGTTGCCTCCCACACGAACCCAACAAGGGCTGGGGATCAAACTGCAACCAAGGTACGTGCCCTTGACTGGAATCGAACCCAGGACTCTAGTCCACAGACCAACACTCTAACCACTGAGCCAAACCAGTCAGGGCTCTTACTAACTTTTTGCAGCAGTTTTGGTTTCTCTGGCATAAGTGTGTGGCATATGACCACACTGCCCAGTGTTCAACGATATCTTATGGACAGAAATACACTGTGGATAGAAATAGGTTCTAGATGGACATAGAATGTACAGTGGGGAGCAATCCATTTATAGATGGTTGGATATCTACCACACATACAATTTTAGCCCTGCAGATAACTGGTCAACCAAGCTAGAATAAGCTATGGTACATCCAGCTATATTATTTCCTATAAATTTTCCCATGTTGTATTCCACAAGCGTTTACTTACATTGGTGGGCAGGGTCCGTAAGAGTTTTATCTGTGCATGTGGAATGATGACCAATATGGTGACTTCTGTTCTATAGGATCCAGAGTCCTTATAGCCTCAATTAGGGTGGTTACCTGCAGAGCCCTGGCCGGTTTGGCTCAGTAGTTAGAGAGTGTTGGCCTATGGACCAAAGGGTCATGGGTTCAATTCCGGTAAAGGGCACATACCTCTGTTGCAGTTCTATGCTCAGCCCTGGTTGTGCTCATGTAGGAGGTAATCAATCGATGTGTCTCCCTCACAATGATGTTTCTCTCTCTCTCTCTCTCCCTCCCTCCCACTCTATCTGAAAATCAATAGATAAGTGTCCTTGGGTGAGGGGGAAAAAAAAACCTTCAGAGAGACTATGATTCGCTAATGTGCTCCCCCAAATTCTTGAATCCCTGATTTCCCCTGCTGTTATAAAACCAGACCCACAGCATGGGATATATGGAGTCCTACAGAGATATAAATTGGAGGGAAACTTGAGCCTTGATGTAGTGAATTTGGGACTGAACAACAGCATTCTTCTAACCCCACTTGTCGTTTTTAGTCAGGGATCAGCGGTGCTATTTCCTTTGAAAGAAGCAGAATGCTATAACCCTTCAGATGAAAGACTTTTGAAGTGGCAACTGGATTTGGAAGGATGAGTTATATTGTTAAAGGGCAAAGTGTGCTATGCCATAAGACCTAACCTAACTCCAAATGGTGAAAAAGGATATGGGTTTATTTAAGTATATATATAACAAAAATATTCAGGAATGAATGAGGATTTGATCTGAGCATATGGTAATGTCGCCATGTCAGCGAGCTGTATTCTGAATATAAGGTCTTTCTGCAGAAAGTCTTTCTTAATCCCTCTCCAGTATACATTCTATTCCTTCTTGTCCTCTCTTCCCTTCCCCACCCACCATCCACTGGCTCTGAAGCAGTCTATATATTATCATGCTGTACTATAATAATTTTGTTGTGTCTGTCTGCAGCATTAGACTGGTCTCCCTGAAGGCAAAGAAGACGTCTGATTTCATAGTTGTGTCTCCAGTGCCAAGCACAGTGCTTAGCACCCAGTAGGTCTTCAAAAAATACTGAATTAATGAAACCTAAAGTAAAACTCAATTAGAGCCCAGCTCATGTTACAGAAAATCAAATATGTGGCAGGTCAAACTGTATCTTCCAAAGCAGTGTTCTGTGATGCTAAAATGTTCTATATCTGCTCTGCCCAATAGGGTAGCAAATAGCACATGTGGCTACTGAGCATGGAAAATGTGGCTAGTGTAACTGAATTTATTATTTTATTTAATTTTAAATAACTTAAATAGCCACATGAGCTAGGGGCTACCCTATTAGACAGCACAGTCTCAAGGCCTTACATCTCTATCCAGTAAGGACCAGATATAACTTCATTAGCCAAGGAAGCAGGAATTTATTTTGTCCTTACATCATAAAGACTGAGAGTGGGGAAAGTTGTGAAAGGTACAGCACATGCAGGTCTATTTTGTTTTATGTAATGGGACACATCGAGGCTGGGGATTTCTCTTGGTTTGGGAGCATGGAAAGAATTTGGACTTCTAGTTGCATTGTTTCACCTCACCTCACCTCAGCCCCCGGAAAGTCATATGACAAAATAAGATTGAAGTCCATCATCCTTGTTCAAAAATCTCGTATCTGAAACTCTTTCATGGACCGACTTGCTAGTGAATTTGAACTGTATTGTGCACAGCTTCCCATTTTATGCAGTTTCATAAATCAATTTCAGGGAGGCTGGTCTTCATGAAAACAACTCATCGTCTTCTAAAATAAAAGGAAATATGCTTTCTTATGAAGTCCTGACATTTTTTTTTTCATTTTCCAGTGAACTGCAGAGAAATCTGGTAATGTGGTGGGTTTAAGCAAATGCTAATTTAAAACGGGATGCTCATCAAAATGGAAAAAAGCCTGTCTCCAGTGTTTTATGCTGGGTAGTCATTCCCTGTCTACTGTAAAGACCATTTGGGGAAAACAAATGTAGCTGGCTTAATGTGCTTGCCTTGAAGTAATGAACTGCACTTGATTGCTGTTAGACCTCATAATGCATTCAGTTCGATTTCCCTGACAAGCCATTTACTTAAGGGCCTGGATAATATAAACAGGGACGGGAGGTCAGGGAGGTAGTGATATTATCCTGAGGCCAGCACTGCTCTACTGAAACATAAATGTCTCCCAACTGAAAATGGCACCTGGCTTTGCCCCTTGGGGAGGTCTCCATGGACATCTCAAGTAAAAGTTTATTTTTAAAATAAATAGAAGTCTTATTCCTCTCAAGATGAAGAATGAAGTGTGGCTCTTTCTCCTTCATTTCACTTCATGGATGTTCATTTTGTCTTTTTTATTTTATTTTTTCCCTTCTGTTCCTTTTCCTTCTTCAAGTACTTAAATGTCATCCACCAGTTCTGGGTTCTTATTCTAAACATGTGTGCTGGGGAAGAGGGCAGATGGAAGCCGGGGAGGAGGACTATGAATAGACTGCTTGTGCTGCTGGGCTGGGGGATATTTTTATTCCAAAGTGAAGGTATTTCTTATATTGACATGAGTGAAACTGGAGGGGATCCACTCGAGTGGATCTTGGTGACTTTGTACTTCTAGAGACCAAAATACCCATCACCTTTCCACAATGATCACGTTCATATTTTTCTGAATGCAGCAACAGTATAATTACTGTATTTGATTCTTCTGGTTTCCCAGGAGGTAAAGGCTCAGGCAAAGCCTTTGGCTGCTACAGAAATAGAGGTACTTGGAACCCCAGAAAGTTGAGGTTACAGGGAACTCGATGGTGGCTTCTCTTCATAGACCTGTGGCTCCACTACTGTCCTCTCTTGACTGTTAGTGGAACGATTGCTCCGCATCACTTCAGCAGGTCCCCCCAACCCCAGGTCAGTCGGAGAGCTCTAGAATTGTATCTTACTGTATAATTATTTGTCACTGGCTGTTCTGCCACTCACCCTGAGCACATTAAGCTTTGTTCCCTCTCGGAGAACCAGGGTCCTCACTCACAGAATATGAGATGTTGACAACTACCCCACTGGCCCTTGGGATATTGCACTATAACCATAGAATCTGAGAAGATGGAAAAGTAGAACCTTCTCTGCTAACGTGTTCATGAAGACCAGAGGCATCTTGCCCATAACAGCTATATTTTCTCTCCTTTGGGTTCAGGTTGCTTCGAGTGCTGCATCAAGTGTCTGGGAGGAGTCCCCTATGCCTCTCTGGTGGCCACCATCCTCTGCTTCTCCGGGGTCGCCTTATTCTGTGGCTGTGGACATGTGGCTCTGGCGGGCACTGTGGCGATTCTTGAGCAACACTTCTCCACCAACACCAGTGACCATGCCTTGCTGAGTGAGGTGTAAGTACCTGCTTTCCTTTAAAAATGTATTTAAAATGCAACAATCCCATGATGTTTTCAAAAAGACTCAAGTTCGCTCTCCTGGCAGAAAGCTGATGCTTTCCATGAAAGCTCATTGTACATAGATATAAAAAGGTCCATGAGAGAAGGAAAACTAAAGGACCAAGAATGCAGTGGGTGTTTGGCCCCCAGGATGTTTGGGATCTCATGTGGGAATGGCAAAGCACTCACATAAGACACTCCACACATTGTAGCTCTGGACATGGGGGCCTGTGGCAGGGTGATAGCTTGATGCTGCCAGTCATCACACCAGTTATCATGGTTCCCAAGTAAGAGGCGCCCTCCAGTGGTTTCACAGGAAATGACCATCCCTGAAACCTTGTCGAGGACTACCCTCTAATTTTATAGGCGCAAGACTTTTGACATTAATTCTTCAGGCAGAAGAAAAAATCCCAGAACATCTTCCAATGCATAAAAGGGGAAGTTAATGGGGTTGAGCTCAAAACTCTGCCTCCCCATTCTGGAATCCTTCTCAGTGGAGTCTTAACAACTCCCATGCAGGTTCTCCTAACTGTGCAAGCCCAGCAGCAGTATATTTTCTTCATATACTTTCCTCCTTCTCCATTGCCTTCAGTGTTTTATTTTTTTTCCTTGACTGCCAAAATCTCACAGTATTTAGGTGTCCTGTGATCATAAGAAACGTCTCCACCCGATTGAAAAAGACATGAATGAATTTTTATGGAATAATGAAATCATGTTGGAAGAGTCCTTAGGCAATTTTATTATTATTTTTTCTCCGTATGAATGAAATCCAAAGAAATGACCAGGGGTAGGGGAGGTTAGGAGGATCAAGCAGGACAAGTGATTTAATGAGTGAATCCAACTGCGTGCAGAGACCACCAAGAATATTTACCACAACTGAACCCAGGAAAGGTGTGTTGCTTTAGCTAGTGAGCTTGATAAGTGCCTCTCAATCTTCAGGAATCTTTAAAAATTCCCCACGCCCATGCTTTGCCCCAGACCAATTAAGTCATAATCTCTGGCACCTAGGTACCAGTATTTCCGAAAGCTCCCCAGGCGGCCAAAGGTTAGGTCCCAGTCAGCTTTCATAGGACAAAATTAGTTGTGACTTGGCTTTTTGTATCTTAAACCTCTTGCACATTATCACTTATGTAGTGAGAATCTCAGTGCAAAAAAAACATCTGCCCAAGTTATTCCTTAAGGAAGCCCTGAGTGCTTGCTTAGTGGCTTTATCAAAATGACATTAACCAGGAGGCCTGGTTTGGAGGCATTTGACATGGCAGAAGGAACACGTACATTGGACCAGAGTTCAAATGCTGGCTCTGCCACTAACTCCGCATCCTTGGGTGGATAATTTAACTCCTCAATGCCTGTGTTTACTTATTTGCAAAATGAGGATTGTAACCCACACAGCACAGGACTTGGATGAGTGTCTGGGAAGGCTGTCCCCACTCAACAACGGGCCCACCTTGAAAAAAAGGCCCAGGATGAGATTGAGTGGGCAGGGATGCCTGTCCGGAATGCCCCATGAGCCCACTGCAGCCATGAGAGGGCAGGAGATGTCACACGAACATCCCCCCCCCCATGTCCTCCTTCCAGAGGCTGAAAACATTGTTTACCAGGCAGAGGATTTAACTTTTCAGGCTTTCTTCTTCCTTCCCGTAGAATCCAACTGATGCAGTATGTCATCTATGGAATTGCGTCCTTTTTCTTCTTGTATGGGATCATTCTGTTGGCTGAAGGCTTTTACACCACGAGCGCAGTGAAAGAACTGCACGGGGAGTTTAAAACCACAGCCTGCGGCCGATGCATCAGTGGAATGGTGAGTAGGAACCTCCGACCACCTGGTACACAACCAGAACCACGCCTCCCTGTACTTTGTAGCTGGGAAACGCTATGCGACGATTGAGAGTGGAGGGAGAGTCCATGACACACATACAGGCAGACCTTGGAGGTACCTCAGCTTTGGTTCCAGACCACCGCAATGAAGCAAGTATCTCCATAAAGCAAGTCATAATCTTGTTGCTGGTGGACAGTCTTGCCTTTAATTTGTAAAACACAACATCTGTGAAACACAATAAAACCGAGGTACGCCTGTAGTGTTCTTAACATTTTCGAGTTAGGAATTTGAAAATGCCTTCAATATATTATTGATAATAAATTAAAATCTATGGCTGATATTATTAAATCAAACATTCCCCTCATCAAGATATAAGTAATGAGGCTATTGAAGATTTTTCATATATAAAGTCCCCACAATGAAAGGAGATAAGTTGCATATTGTCTTAAAGCTCCTCTGCATGTCTTGAATGTAGATTTTGGCCATGAAGACTCGCATGGCCCTGGCCAGTTTGGCTCAGCAGTTAGAGCATCGGCCCTTGGATGCAAGGGTCTCAGGCTTGATTCCTGGTCAGGGGAACACACCTGGGTTGCAAATTCGATCCCCAGACATGGTTGGGGTCAATGGGAGGCAACCAATAGATGTGTCTCTTTCACATCAATGTTTCTCTCTGTCTCCCTCTTCCTGTCTTCCATTCTATCTAAAAAAAAATCTTAAAAAATAAATGGAAAAATATCCTTGCGTGAGCCTTAAAAAAAAGACTCACACACACTAGCCACTCAATCCCCTCTGAATGTTACTCCGTGATGCATTCTTTATAACTCTTTTTTTTTTTAATCCTAACCCAAGAATATTTTTCCATTAATTTTCAGATAGTGTTGGGGGTAAGGGGAAGTGAGGAGGGAGAAAGAAAGAAACATTGATGTAGAAGAGACACATATATTGGTTGCCCCCCTCACAACCACAACCGGGGCAGGGGGGTCAAACCTGCAACCAAGGTGCGTACCCTTGACTGGGAATCAAACTGAGACTCTATGGTCCTCGGACCCAAGCTCTAACCACTGAGAAAACTCACCAGGGCTCTAACGCTGTCTTTTAATGAGCTCTTTTTAAGCTTTGTCCTCCTTTAGACCAGAGGCCAGCAAACCGTGTCTGCATGGGGCTAGATGGCAACTGGTTTAGGCTCTGCAGGCCACTCATGGTCTGTCACTAAGAACAGAACTCTGGATGCTGGAGGCCACCAGGACTGGAATGTTCCCACGGGCCCTCTCCACTTGGCACTGGCTGCCCTCAGGGGCCCTGACGCTGCAGGAAGGGAAGGCTCACCAAGCAAAGAACCACCAGCCCTTTTTGAAGTCTTTGTGGAGTTCTTAGAAAGAAAGTCACATTTTCTTCTGAATAGCAAGAAAAAGAAAGCCTAGTCTGGAGTAGTCCACCCTTAAAAAGAGGGAAGGAAGCCCTGGCGGGTTTGGCCCAGCAGTTAGCATGATGGCCTGCAGACAATAGGGTCATGGGTTTGATTCCGTTCAGGGGCACGTGCCTTGGTTGTGGTTTGGTCCCTGGCCTGGGTCGAGGTCATGTAGGAAGCAACCAATCAATGTGTCTCTCTCACATCCATATTTCTCTCTCTCTCTGTCTCTCCCCCTCCCCCCACACTATCTGAAAATCAATGGAAAAATATTCTCAGGTGTAGATTAAAATTTTTTAAATTAAAAAAAGGGAAGGAAGGCTATGCAACTGCTGAAATCTGCTTCTTTTGAATACTTTTAGAAATGCAAACACTTCCCAAAGTGTAAATGTCCTTGAGATAAAATGCCTTGTTTCTGCAGTTTCCTGAGATGACCAACAGGAGGTGGCCTGTCTGAGCCTGACCCCCAGGCCAGCCTGGCACCATCCAGGTATTTCCTGCAGTGTAGAAAGTTACATGGAAACGTCAGGTCATCAGCATCAGCTTGAAAAACTAAAAAGCCAAACTAGGATTCCAAACCTTCACCCACACATTCTGTGGGTGCACATTCTGAAAATATAAATATCATGATGTTTTTGAAGCAGCCTTTTAAAGTTTTCTGAAAATTGGTAGTCAAGGCAGGTTAGGAAGAAATTAAAGCAATATGATTACATTCTTCCTGAAATTGCCCATGGCAACATGTGAGTGAACAGGATGATTTTGTCCTAAGCCAGGGCTCTGCTTGCAGTTAGTGTGAATCTTAAAAATGAAAACAACCGGAGGGAAATTACCATTTTATCAGATTCACTGTGTATTATGCTTGTGTTCAAGGCTGTTTTAAACTTGTAATATAGGTTCAAGATCTAATGCTTTTAGTAATGTCACAGGATCATGAAACTAATGAAGTTCCTTTTGAGAAAGGGCTTCTTGTATTGCTATTATATCACCCATGTATTATATAAAATAAAGGTAATTTTGGAGAAATCAATGTGAAGTTGTAATTCAAGTGGCCTGTGAAACCACCCAGACACTGTTGCATGGTAAGTACAGAACTGATGTTTAGAAAGAGTGCCACATGGGAGGTCCTGTTACTAATTAGCTCTGAGACCTTAGACAAGGGAGATCACCTCTTGAGGTCCCAGGTGTTTATTAGTTAAAAGAAGGACTTTTAACTAACTTCGCTTCAGGTAGTAACACTCTCCATCCTTTAACTCTGGAGAGTGTGACCACCCTGCTCCAGTTGCCAGTCCTTCGTTCTCCTCTTTCTTGTCACTTTGCGTTGTCGCTACTGTGGCCCAGCTGGTGCTCTGAATTGAATGCATCACACAAGTTTGGTATCATGTAGGAAATGCAGAATCATTCCTCCCAGGGGATGCACCTTGGAAGGTTCAGTGACAATTCTTTCTCCTCCTCCTTTTTGGCTTAGTTTGTCTTCCTTACCTACGTGCTGGGAGTGGCCTGGCTTGGCGTGTTTGGTTTCTCTGCGGTGCCTGTGTTTATGTTCTACAACATATGGTCAACTTGTGAAGTCATCAAGTCACCCCAGACCAACGGGACAGCCGGTGTGGAACAGATCTGCGTGGATATCCGACAATATGGTACTTCCTTTTAATCCCCCCCATTAATGTTTATGCTCTTGTGCATACGCCTGTACCTTGGTTATTACATGGGCATCTTTTTAATCATGATCTCTTTCATACATCCTTCTATTGGAAGAGTGTATACTCTTTCCCTCAATATGCTCTTTTCTGTATGGAAAAAATCATTTAGGCTCTTAGTTGCTAAAAGGTGCCATTCCACATTTTGTTATATTTTCAAGTATGTAGTAAAAAAAATTTTTATAATGAGAAGCTATTTCATAATTCAGTTCAATCAAAAAAAAAAAAAGATTTCTGACTGTCCACTATAAAAATGTAACATATTCTTTTCAGTTTTTCAGTTTTGTATCATCTTACTTTCTATCCAAAATATGTCGTGAAAAACACGACATGAAATCCAAATGTATTTTAAAGTCATGAGAATATATTCTATAAAAGCTAGCTGTTGGAAACAGATTCAAATGTGTTTTCAAATAAATGGGATTGCCTTAATAGGCAGTGAAGGCTGGTTCATTTTGACAAGCCACAGAAGGCCATTGCTGTACCTGCCAATTAATCTGAGACTTGATTTCCCTGCTGAATGAGAGAAGGCGACATCCCCTTACGTAAGGGGTTTAATTAGTGCTTCTAGCCAGGATGGCAGGAAATCCTGTTCTTGGCAGAAACAACTAGGAGAAAACAGCTTTTCATTAGAATCAAAGAAGAAGTAACTATTCTGTCAGAGCTTTGAGAAGGAGAGAGAAATGACTAGTATTTCATTTTTGTTGCTTGTTTTCCCATGTGGCTTATTCTCAGCCTCTTACCTTACAACATAATACAAAACTTGCCTTAAACTGCCCATCAAGCTCAGCCTAAGAATCTCTTCTCATAAAGACTAAGGCTAAACCATACTGTTCTTTTTGATGGATTGAAAACAAAGCCTAAAGCTGATTTTTAAAGTATTTGTAAATGAATGTCTAAATGTATGCCATTTCCCTGTTCTTAAATATTTTTACTACAAATTTTCCATCACTGGTAATCATCTTTTTTAAATCTATATTTGAAATCACTGGTTTCACTGACAATTTAGGGACTCATCATTTCCCATTCTTCTGAAGCATCAAGACTTACTCATGACCCAAGACAAAGATGGAGGAAATAAGGATTTTTTAAAAAGTCCTCCTTCCTTACCTCCTGGGAGGAATCTAATTTGAGCTGTGTTTAATATTTAAGCATTCACCTGCTCATTAATGGCAAAAAGAGCAGCAGCCCCTAATGGGCAATGTCACTGCAGGGGGGAGTTGGAGTTACGGCGAAAAAGACCACAGACTGTGCAGGCCCCACTCTCTGTGATGAAGGTCAGAGTTTTCTTTCTTTCTTTTTATGGTTGTTAATGGAGGATATTTTTTTCCATTGATTTTTTTTAGAGAGAGTGGAAGGGAGGAAAGGAGGGGGTGGATAGGTGCAGAAAGAGAGAGAGCAACATCGATGTGAGAGAGACACATCAGTTGGTTGCCTCCCACACACGATCCCGACCAGGGCTAGGGATCAAACCCGCAATCCAGGTATATGCCCTTGACTGGGAATCAAACCCAAGATCCTTTGGTGCATGGGCTGACACTCTATCCACTGCACCACACCAGCCAGGGCGAAGGTCAGAGTTTTCAATCCCAAAGTATTTCCAAAATATATGTAAAATGATAAAAATGAATATGAAAGCAAAGATATACATAACTGTCGAACTGCCATGAAACTTTCTGAGCACAGACTCTCAATTTCGGAACTTATGGCAAACCACTAACAAAGAGCTTGAGTAACAAAGCCACAGACCAGGAAATTCATGGGGAAATGGACTTGACTTCAGCATGATGAAATGCTTTACGAGGGGGGTCATCCTGCAGCTGCTTAACTATAGTTCATAAATTCATAGGAGAGAAAACCCTGCTTTGAAAATCAATTCTGACAGTTATCAGCTCAACTAAACAAAGCACAATTTGAAGGAAAAATTATATCAGGTAAAGTGTCTTATAGACTACCTGACTTTGCTCATGCCCTATAGTCCAAATGGAACTTAACCAATTACTCCAAAACGCCTGTTCTGCAGATGAAGAACATAGCCTACAATTGCACTGTGATTGGCTTCCAAAGTGGTGAGGACTCAGGACGGCACAAAGTGTTGTAGTTTGCACTAATACCTAACTTTGTATTGGGATTCACTTCACAGGTATCATTCCTTGGAATGCTTTCCCAGGAAAAATATGCGGCTCCGCCCTAGAGAACATCTGCAACACAAATGAGGTAAACCCCCCTCCCATCAGAGGCTCACAGATGATCACATGGCAAAAAAGTGTCCTTTCTCCTGGGGAAAAAGAGCAGGAGCAATGGCTTAAAGGCTGCTAAGAAAAACTCTCTTTTGCAGACTTTAAAGAGTAAACTGTATGTACTCACCAATACGCAGGCATTTTTGACCTACAAGATGGCCCTTTCTCTTGGTCCAGCCCTCTCAGTGAGGCTTTTAGCAATCTCTTTTGTCAACAATTTAGGAGTGATCCCAATCCTGCAAATCTGAATATATAAGGTGTCCCCCAAAAATGTATACACAACTTTGAACAATTATAAAGGCAGTGTTTATTAAAATATATTTCATTTAGAATCTACAGACACCCTGTATACATTTTGGGGACACCCTGTATATAGACTCTTCTCTTTCACCTTTAGATAGTTTTCCAAACTAGAACATTTGTCACAGAAAAAATACAAATTAATTTTCAGAGAAAAGAGTCCCCTGAAATTGTATGTAAGCCAAATTTTTATAAATCAAGTCACAGTTAATCATTTATATTTCAGAGTGATTGCTGTTATTTCTAGTGCACCCTTCATTGGCACTCAATCCTAACACACTTCGCTTTAAAATCTCTGGGCCCCAGAATGTTCATCAGGCATTGGTTTACAACTGTCTATAAAATTGTCAAATGCACTAGAAGTTTGCATGTGTAAGCATCCTAATATGCTTTTTGAAAGCAATCAGTTACTGAAATAGTGAGACTCTGCCCACCTGGCTGGTCATTCTATATATCTACTATGTGCGCTGGCTCAAAGCAGGGGCTCCCAACCTTGGCTGCCCTTTGCAGTCATCAAGGAGCTGGCTGAGGCAAAGCCCTCAGATATTCAGATTTAATTGGTCTAGGGTACAGCCTGAGCATCAGAAAATGTTAAAACCCACCAGGTGAGACCAACTGGGCTTGACAGGAGTGCATACTTACACCCAGCCTTGCAGAGATAGCTAGAAAGATGACGCCAGCACACTGGAACGGGTGTAGGCCATTTCATTACACATGAAATGCTTATGTTGGTGCTCTCTTCTTTCCTAGTTCTACATGTCCTACCACCTGTTCATTGTGGCCTGTGCTGGAGCTGGTGCCACCGTCATTGCCCTGGTGAGTAATGGCCCAAGGACTGGCCTAGTCTAGCTCCCCTTCCCAGCGGTCTCTACAATGACAGATTTCCCTTCCAGCAAACACTCCTGGGACTCAGGGTTGGTTCAGTTTCACCTATGTAAACCTACCACATATCTAGACTGCAAGGTATACTAGTTGGCTGTCCAGACACCGATTATAGGTAATGTAAATTGGATTCTGTGGAAGAAAGAGATGGTACCAATACCTGGAACACCTGTAAACTAACTGAAACATTGCATTGTGGCATATTTAGCTGTTACTTTCATGACTTAAATCATGGACAAATGGTTACATGAGGTATTACCTGTTTCATTTTTCCAAAAGGAAATGTGCATATACAGTATACATGCAGACTTGGACCGTTGATCTTGTGGTACGCAGTTATGCTCACTAAAATTCCCCCAAACACTGAATTAACAAACACGGAGCCATTGCTCCTTGGGGAAATACAGGATTAAGTTTCTGCGAGCCTCTAGTCACATTTTTTGTCAAACAGATCAAATACATAACCTTGTTTTGTGTGATTCTGTTCAAAGACATCTTATTTAGTATACATTGTTGATTTATTAACACTGAACAACAGCACTACGTCTCATATCTGAATGGAAAACATTCAGTACATGTATTTTCTTATAAGGCACCTCACAACCTTCTTGCACTTTAAAACACTACACAACACTTCAAGTAGGGAATATTTAAACAGTGAAATCACAAGCATGCAAAACACATGCCACTAAACGGATTATAAAAGGACACTTGTGTGCAGACAGACCTGGAACAAGAAGGCAGTGTCACCTTGGTTGACCTCCGCTGGAAGGAGAGACTTTTTCACCACTCTGCACATGTCCATGAATGAGTGTGAAGGTGCTATGAGCCCTGATCTTGTGGTGCACAGTTATGCTCACTAAAATTCCCTCCAACACTGAACAAACATGGAGCCATTGCTCCTTGGGGAAATACAGGATTGAATTTCTGCGACCCTCAGGTCACAACATTTTTGGTTACAAAGACATTTTAGGACACAGGCAAGTTCAAAAATACATCATCTGCAAATAATGAAGTGTATAAACACAAACAGGTGTGCATATGTATGTACATGCAGTGATACATAATTTGGGAGGGCTTAGTTTGTGATTTCAAGAAACCTATGATCGATAGAGCAAGGGGGCATATCATCTGCTCAGAAATGAGTCATTCCCAGGTTTTCCAAGGAAGTCATTCCTTCTCATGACAGTACAGGAAAAGACAGCACTTGTTAAGTCACAGTGGTGACCTATTCTCTGGGCTGCTGCCTGCTCTCTTGGTTGAACAACAGGCAGGAGAGGACTAACTGCTGCTGAGTAGACAGTTTTGGAAAAGACGAGGGAAAACAGAGCATGTAGCTTCATCTTCTGCTGCTGACCCAGAACTCTATCTTGTCATTTTTTAAACACGTCCTAGTCTTTAATAAACATGCCAAGGACAGAGCCGAGTACAGAGCCGAGGACTGGTATGGTATATGTGAAATGAGAAAAGGTTTGTGTGTGCTAGACATGAGAATGTCCTGTTGTGATTGTAATTGGGAAAAAGAAACACCTCAGGCTGAGTTGGTACCCCGCCCCACCCAAGTTTAGAAGTGTCGTGGCACCAGCCCTCACTGCCTATATCTTACGTCATGTTTTGTTCTCTTCCACCAGCTGATCTACATGATGGCTACTACATATAACTATGCGGTTTTGAAGTTTAAGAGTCGGGAAGATTGCTGCACTAAATTCTAAATTGCATAAGGCCCATAAGGAGCTTTAGAGAGCTGTATGATGTAGCATGAATATCACTGACACCACAGACTAAAGCAGAGTCTAGGTTTCTGCAGTTTTGTATCAGTAATTTGTAAATAGCTTTAGTCAACTCATTCCGCATGGGAGATTAATAAGATGACTTACCTACACAAATTACAAAATTATGAGATCTGGCTATTTCCTCATTTTGAAAAGGATTCAGTTATTTACTAACACTGCTGAGCACCCATTAAAAATTAATTTTCTTAAAATTAAACTTTGAGCAGTAACTCTCATTGAAGTATTAAAACTGAAACACCATTATTTTTACTGGCTTGATAACCAAGTTCAATGGTGAAATGAAAAAAGTGCCGAAGATGAATGGAAGAGAACCATCTTAGTTTAGATTTTGTTTTGTCAGACTCCTAGAAAATATTTTACAAATGTATTTTAAATTTCATTAAAATTTTTTTAATGATTATATGGTTGACAACCAAATAAATGCCCCTCAAATAAATCAGATGAAAATTTGAAGTAAAATAAAGGCCACCCATTTGTTTTCTCCTCTGAAAAAAAGGATTTATACATGTGTTTTTCTTTTTTTACATATAACACAATCCTTCCTTTCAGAGCCCACAAAATTGATAACCTTAAACTTTTTTGGTGAGTAGTAACTGATTCCTCAAAGCCAGTTCTCAAACTGCACATAAGATTTTAATGGGAAGAGAAATTGTTCCTGGATCTGAAAGTCTCAAAAATGTTGAGAAGGAAATATGAAATATAAGGAATTTGAGATGTAGATTTTGCAGGAAAGATGAGAAAAATAAATGGGAAAGTGTTGACCACATCAACTGTAAAGAATGCCAATAGGATTTTTACATTTTTGAAATGAAATAATGGCAGTCACAAAATGGAAAATGTGGTTTTACTACTAAAAATTTGTTAACACGGAGACTGCATACTTTGCTTATAGTTTTTAAGTTTGGTTCACTTAATTTTTCCATGTTAAATATGTAGTTTTTTATTATTTACTCAAAATAAACATTGTTCACAATTTTAGGCTTTTTAAGGAATTGATTTTTATCCACAGATAGGAAAGATCTTTGCACCGCACTTATTTAAAAATAACCACCAACGTGTTACTGAACTTCTGTATTAGTTTTAAAATTACTCTCAAAATGGTAAAAAAAAAAAAGCACCCTCTTGTATTTTATTTTCCCTTTCCTTAACAATAACTTTGGCCATTTTTTCAAGTTCATTATGTCTGTATACTAACTCTTCTTCAGCCTTTTAATATTGAGCCTACGAGCCTACTAGTAGAGCATGCTCTCAGTTATCTGATGCCTCTGATCGCAGAATGAGTATTAATACAGAATAACCCTCTCCCCCTTTTACAGTCAAGACCGTCTAATCTGCCTAGCAGCTTGCTTTGCCTCTTACATGCTCACTAGCCATCATGCTCACCCTTCTTTTCCAGATCCACTTCCTCATGATACTGTCTTCTAACTGGGCTTACTTAAAGGATGCCAGCAAAATGCAGGCTTACCAGGATATCAAAGCAAAGGAAGAACAGGAACTGCAAGATATCCAGTCCCGGTCAAAAGAACAACTCAATTCTTATACATAAATGTTTGCCAGAGTGCTTCTGCCGACGCATTGACAGCTCTGACAAATCATCAGACAGCTGCTCTGCGGTACAGATGTTTCCCGCCAACAATTTCATGTAGAACTGCAAACACTTCACTGTCTGTCGCAAGCTGCTGGGATGTATTTCTAGGAAAACCTTCCAGTAGGTAAACCTTTTTCTTTAGAACAGATATTGGAGAATACGTTAGCCATTTTAAAAGGCAACACTCTTGACAAAATGATTGCTCATCTTTTTGAAATTTGTGGCATGTTCACATTTATTGCTAGAGCAATCCTTCCAAGATAGGCACTGAGAATATGGCATACTCCTTGATAGGGGCCCATGATATACCAGCATCAAGGAATGTGACCATAAATTCATGTATGCCATCTGTCCTCAAATAGATGTATCTAATAGGAAATAAAATGGAATTGGTGCGAAATTCCATTTCTGACAGCTGACATTTATTAAACTGTGGCTCATCAAAGATAATGTGATTCTTACAACTGACAAGGACACAGTAATCTCATAATCCAATCAAAATCGTTTTTTCAATAATGCTAAAATGTGCTACTACAATTCTGCTATACCTACCATAAAAGAAGCTGAAATCTGACTCATTGACAAGCTTTCTGGAATCAATTTTATAAAAGACCTCATTTCAATAAAATGGCCCACTTGTTGTCATTCTTGGGAAATAAATGTCAGCTCTGCCTTAATGAGTATTTGCTGTAAATTTCTAAGAACTTATATCACAACGGGAGACCCAAAATCCTTCACAGAATTTTTTTCCACAAACATTTTTCTTAATTAAGAAGTGTTACCTTATTAAAATGACCACCATTCTAAACCATTTTTATGTGGTCTGAAAAGTGAGTTTACAGTTTCATACCAACTATCTATAACCTAATTACAAATAGACCACAGACCTCCTACTTTTATAGACTTGAATACTTAAGTAATTTAAACTAGGGTAGGTATTTATTTCACCTTTTCTTATCTAAGTCTTAGTTTCCTGGAATAATAGAAGTTCGATGTTCAGCAAAAACAAAACAACAACAACAAAAAACTAATTGCTTGAGTTTAAGCCATTTTCAAAAGAAACTTGCCTTCTAAATCATTGTGTTCCAGAATATTAAGTGACTATAGGTATTGGGTATTAGTGATGGTAAACTTTGTGTTGTTCTTTATGAAATGATACATATAACTGTTGGGTGCATCAGTGCTTTTGAAAAGGGGCTGCATAATATAGGGTTAACTATGTATATTCATGTTAAGAATTAACTTGTGGTTTGACTGTTTCCTGGATTTTAAAACATATACATGTGCAGAAATGTATTACAATGAAAGGAAGCATACCTTTATCAATATGCTATTAAAATTGAACACCCAGTATATTTCATTTGGATTCTTTCTGTTGTTGTTAATGCCTAAAAAATGCCTATTTGGACCTTGATTATTATTTTTTTTAGTTGGAAGAAGCTCTCTTCTGTGTAGAACGGTTGTTGCAGAATAGCTTGGTGGTGTGTCTTCCTGTTGCATGACAGACTTTAATGTTTTCTCCAGCAGTGCAGGTGCTGTTAGAGTCCAGTGTTCTAGAAGAAGCAGTGTCTAAAGCCTAATTTTACGTTTCTAATTCTGGTAGCTACTACCAAGAATGTTTGAAAGTTCTGTTTAAGTAGTCTAATATTTTTTATGTAAAGAGCATTAAATTTTGCTATGTATAAATTTTTGTAACCTAACAGTGAATCAATATTTTCTATCAGTGCCAAGGGCTTCCTGTAGTTCTATTCAAGTGTTACAATAAATATTTGTAGATAATAGTCAATACTTGTGTATGCTTATTTTAAAGATTTAGGTGGAAATAGTTGTGGATGTACTAAGAGAAATGAAATAAAATTATAGCTTCATTCAGTTGCCTTTTGACATACATAAATACTATCTTTCTCCGTCCTCAGTATGGTGTCATTTTTAAATAGTATGCATAATCAAGATGTCACATTCGTATGAAATCGAGTTTATAAGAGGGTGCTACATGTCTTGTTTCTGACAAATCTTTTAAGCAACAGCAATTTGAGAAAATGGCATCACCCACTGGGCTATATTTTACATAAAGTACCATTAATGCTTTATAGTTCTCTGTGAAAAGTATAGAAATTTTCTAACTAGCTTCAATAAATGAAAGCAATATACCTATGAGATAAACACAAAACTTAAGTTCGGGGAAAGTAGAAGGAATCACCTTCATTAGAATCCATGTGTCACTGGCTAATTTTACAAACCCAAGGAATAAAAGTTTGCTAAAAGAAGATTTACTTGGGGATATTTAAAAAGATCTAGAGCTAATGATATTTTCTAGAGCAGCAGAGCTAAGTCTGTTACTGAAGATTTCATTTTCTAGTCTGCTTAAACTACTTCTGTCAGCATGATGACATTTGGATTTTTTCCCTCTGACCTTTCTCAGTAAGGACCAGCTTTTGTCACTGTTGCCACAATGGCATTTCTAAGTGAGGTGCTGCCTCTGGATCATCGCCCTTCATGCACACTCAGCAGGAGAATAAATCGGGAGCCCAATTAGTTTGCTATTTATCACACTATACTTCATACCTTCTGCTTATGTAGCATCTGTGCAATTATTTCTTAAGTTACATGAATCGCCTGAATAAATTTTGTGTAAATCATGGCTAGATAAGACTACAAGCAGTCTATGATCAACAGTAATCCTGCCACAAATGTGAAAACCTTTAGAGGCTGGAGCAGAGATTTTTCCATTTCTCTAGTTAAACATGTGAAACAACTTTTATACATGAAAAGACAGTCAAACTTTTAGGGGACAGTCCTACTCATTTAAAAACCAACAAACAAAAATACTTTGCCTATTGAAAAATAAGAACCAAAAAATGCACAATAAACATTTTGAAAAAACTCCTTTTAGGTCTTTTTAATGCTATGATAGCCATAATCCTGTAAGATTTAAAAGAGGCAATGCACTTTGTTATTAGCATCTTTTCCTAAATGATGGCATCTTTCTCTAGGTAGAGCAAGGCTAACTTGTTCCAGAAGTTTGTGGAAAATTATAGATTTTACTTCAGGTAACTCTTTCAAAATGAATATTTAGGATGAATAAAACTACAGAAAGTTTTGAGGAAATAAAAATGCAAATAGAAGTCAGGTTTGGCAAAGAACATTCATTTTCTAAACTGTCCCACTAATCTTCCTCCCTGTTTCGATATTTAAACATTATTATGCCCTGACCAATGTGGCTCAGTCGCTTGGAGCGTTGTCCCCTACACTGAAAAGTCTCGGGTTTGATTTCCACTCAGGGCATATACCCAGGTTGCAGGTTTGATCTCTGGTTGGGGCACCTGCAGGAAGCAACCGATCAATGTTTCACTCTCATAGTTGACTGAAAAAAGAAAGAAGCTATCAAACCCCGTTAGAAAGCCAAGTATACATGAGTTATTTAGACAAGAGCTTTGAAATACAAGGTGGGGAAAAAACTGAGTAACATTATAAAGTAGTAAGAAGTTATATGAGGGTTCTGATCCAAGATAGTGACAATAAGAGACTCCTGAACTCTCTTTTCCCATGGATACATCGAATGTACCCCTACACGTGGAACAAGTGTTCCTGAAAGAAATCCAAAAACTAGCTGAGCTACTCTTATACATGCAGTGAACAAGAAAATACACTGGAACAGGTAGGACAGTCTGAGAAATGCTCTTACCATAAACCCTATCCCCAGCATACCACAATATAATCAGGAGGGAACTCCCAACCCCATGGTTCTCCCTGAAGAGCAAAGGGTTTTGCACCCCATGTATCAAGTGTCCTCACTTTTAAGATTCCCACCTGAGATGGGCTCCCAAACACTTAGCTCTTAAGGCCAACAGGGATTGTGTCCAGGAGACCCACAAGACTATAACAAAAAAACAGTTCTTAACCAGCTCTAGAGGACTCACCAACTCCTGGTCTTTACTTGAAAAGGGTCTGTTTGTATTTATTAAAAACTGCTGCCTGAGGGTCAGCCTTCTTTCTAATTTAGCACACATCTAGAGGCTGACTGCCATCCTCCCTAGACTGGAGAAACCAAGGATGCCTCCCCCACCTGTTCCAAATCACCGGTAGCTCCCAGGAAGGAGCTTATGTACACATCTGTGCCCCAGCTTTAGCAGCTGCCACCCAAGGGACAGATTCCCAGACTGCCTGCCTCTGACAGCCAGCAGAGTTTATATTTGCAAGTCCCACAGGGCTATAGCAAACAAGGCAGCAGTTCTTACCAGGTGTAAGAACACTCCGCCCCCACAGCTATACACCCAGGTCAAGTGCAGAGGGAGCAGCCAGTTTATCCCAGGTCTACTACAGTAGTCCAACCTTATATGCAGGTGATATATTCTAAGACCCTCAGTGGATGCCTGAAACCATAGATAGTATATACTGTTTTTTCTATACACACATACCTATGATAAAGCTTAGGCACAGTAAGCGATGAACGATGACTAATAATAAAGTAGAACAATTATAACATACTGTAATAAAAGTTATGTAAATGCCCTGGCCACTTTGGCTCAGTGGTTGAGCATCAGCCTGAAGACCAGAGAGTCTTGAGTTCAGTTCCTGCTAGGGGCACATACCACCAAAAAAAAAACAAAAGTTATGTATATGGTTTCGGGTCCATTATTAAGTAAAATAAGGGGGACTTGAACACAGGCACTGCAATACCACAACAGCTGAGCTGATCACTGAGATGGCTACTGAGAGACGAAGAGGTGCATAGCATACACAGCATGCAGACGCTGGACAAAGGGAGGGTTCACATGCCAGGCAGGATGGTGTGAGATTTCATCATTCTACTCAGAACAATGTACAATTTAAAACTTATGAATTTTTTATTTCTTAAATTTCCCATTTAATATTTTCAGACCATGGGTGGCAATCTGCAGAAAGCGAAACATTAGATAAAAAGGGACTACTGTACATACTTTCCTAGATGCCAAGAGTCTGGTTTCCAATCAAACTGCATCCAGGTGCTATGATCTTCATCATTGGGACACTGACCAATCTTGAAACACCCTCAATTACCGGGCAGCACGAAGAACAAAGAAGGGGGCTTACACAATCACAAAGGTTTGAAAGGCAACCACTTTGTTATAGAACTCAAGGGCCAGACAAGTATCACCGGCAAAAACAATTCAGCCCAGCTTGTATCTGTAAAGGAAAATGATCTGCTCTAGGATTTTCCTAGAGAGAATGACCAGACAAATCCTTGTTAGGAGCTGGGTGGCCATTGGTTAGCAATGAAGTCTCATGTCCCAGGCAAACTGGGATGGTTGTTCACCCTTAGAGCAGTCTGGGTGCACTTTTGGTGACCACAACAGCAGTATTGTGAAAGAACTTTCCTGAGATGCTCCCACGGCAAGATGCTGGACTGACAGCTGCAGGTGTACAAAGATGAAGAAACAGGGCAAGAGCAAAGAGGCATTCTCTTACTTGTGTGGAAGTTATGCTGGTGCTGTGTTTGAGTGTGGTTACCTTGATTTGGGTGATATGTAGTTTCTAAACATCACTCTGGAGAGGAGCATCCAATGGGTGAGCCATTCCAAGTCCTGGGATGTCCTCCACCGGAGCAGCTCCAGTACAGCCCAGGCTAGAGGCAGTGCTGGTCTCGACACCTGGGTGTCCTGGCTCCACAACTGGACGGTCATGAGACCTTGATCAAGTCTCTAACCTCTCTGTGCCTCGTGTTTCCTAATCTGTAAAATGTGGACAGTCATAGCACCAACACTTCTTATGGCTGTAAGAGCACGGAGTTAATACAGGTGCAGGTTTAACATTGTACCTGGCACACATTAAATGTCCAGTAAATGTTATCCTCTTCTTACCATCTAAAGTTTTGGGTTGATTCTCTAGAAAAAGATGTTAGAGCCCAGCTGGTTTGTCAGTTGGTTGAGCGTTGTCCTATGCACCAAGAGGTCACTGGTTCAATTGCTGGTCAGGGCACATACCCGGACTGCAAGCTTGATCCCCAGTAGGGAGCATGCAGGAGGCAGCCAATTGATGTTTCTGGCTCATCGATGTTTCTCTCTCTCCCTCTCCCTTCCTCTCTCTAAAATCAATTTTTAAAAAACATATTAAAAAAAAAAAAAAAGAAAAAGATGTCAGAAGTAAAAACCAGTAGTGATATTGTACTATTTCTGAAGCCTAAAATGGAAAAACCTATGTCTTTATTTTGAGGGACAAATCAGGAGGATAAGTTGGAGAAGGTGGCCTCCTGTTTGACAGGTAGTAGCCCAGCTCTGGAGAGGAAGGGACACAGATGAAACTTCAAAAATGCAGGACTTGTCCTGACCGGTGTGGCTCAGTTGGTTAGAGTGTTTTCCCATGCACCAAAGGGTCTCGGGTTCAATTCCCAGTCAGGGCACATGCCCAGGAAGTGGGTTTAGTCCTGTCGGGGTGCATGTGAGAGGCAACCAATGGATGTTTCTCTCCTCTCTTTTTCCCCTTCTCCTTTCCTTTTTTTTTTTTTTTTTTTGCCATTTTTATTTTTTTTAATTTATTTATTTTTGTTACAGATGTTTCTCCTTTTTCCCGCACTGATTCCCCTCTCTCCCTCCCTCCCTGCCCTGTCCCCAGCTTTGTTGTCCATGTCCATTGTTCATGCATACATGCATACAAGTTCTGTGGTTTATCGCTCCCCCACAACCCCCTCTTCTGGGGGGGGGTACACACTGACAATCCCTTCCTTTCTACAATCAATAAAAAACATAATCTTGGGTGAGGATAAAAAAATGCAGGACTGGAATTTGACCAATAAGTTTTCAAAGAAATATAATCTAACACAAACATGGGGGGGGGGGGCATAGCAGCTCATTCTAGTATAATGAAAGGCCTAATAGTGAGGAATTCTGAAAAGGTGTTACTTGACTAGATTGTTTTTGGTTTATACACTAGAGTACCAAATAAAATTATAAAAAAGAAACCACGCTGGAATGCACAAACAATTTTTATTGAGAATTCTATTTTACTACAGAGAACTCATAGGCCTTTCGTTGTGTTATATGAGAAAGAAGCTGGGTGGCACATGTGGTTACCAAAAGTCATCTGGTTCTTCATGAAAAAGGCCTGCAAAACTAAATTAGGGAAAGACAGAAATTTTTTTAATTTGTTAAATTCTTGTCCCGTTTATTCGGGGACCTTTCTAATGTTCTCATTTTTTTCCTGTGGGGTTTCTGCCCTCACTTACAGTTTGTATCAGTACCAGTATCACAACTTAAAAATGCAAGATTTGTTTTAAAGTCAGTAATTTTGATTAATTAAATCATTTCTTACAGGCAGACTCCAACATCTGAAGGGTTCCCTTGGCCAACAAAGCCAGCAATATGATAAGGGTTTGCTTAAGAACAGTATTGGGGAGAGCATACCTTTCGTCTTTGTCACTAGAGGGCAGTGTGTCCATTTGTGAACCTTCTCTGACACTCTTTATTGAGCTCTGATACAGAGGGGGGAGAATCATTTTGAAATTAGATATGTATTAGCTTTATCAGACACTTCTGATTTCTCTAAAAACCTTTTGAAATTTTTATATCATTTAAGAGTCTAAAAAGGAGGTGACTTTTAAACATGAAATTTAGCAAGCACATCAAACTATCCAGTGTGCATTCTTAATAGTCATATTTCAGACTTGTTTATGTAACATATTAATGTCTCAGACAGTACCAATACATTCGTTATTCATTGATAGGACTTTCATTATATTTCATTCTTGTTCTGAAAATAGTAAGAGACATCTCAACCTTTACAAACTTTGACAAATCAAAATCTGTTCAATCTTTTACCCAAGCAAAAACGATAAAATTTTGTCAAGAATGTAATTTACTTAAAAGACTCAAGGCTCCGTTTGAACTTTGGATTTCCTCTGCTTTTACCTTTTGGTCTCCAATGGAGAAGGCAAAGACTCCTGTCCCAAGGTTTTCTAACAAACCACAGAAGCCCTCATGCCACCCCCTCCACCCCACCCCACCCCACCCACTTCACCCCTGGCCACAGACTGCTGGTCCATAGCATCAGCACCTTATCTGCCTTCTTCTCGTCTCGGTTCTTCTGAATAATTTTCATGTACTTCTCCAAAGGATTTTCACCACAAACAGATCTGTCTTCCATTTCTTGAACACTCACTTCTAACGCTTTCTCCATTTCAGTCTTCAAAGACTCTTCAATAATCCGCTGTCAAAAAGATGACCACCAAAATAAGAAATATACACATACATTTTAAAAACACATAGTACTATAACTCATCCTTTACGTAAAACCTGCATGCCAGAAAACCATGTCCTGAAGTCATTGCTACCATCAAAGGGGGACAAACATGTCATGTCAATGAAGGAAGAGATTACTTTGTCTGAAGTGTCTTGTGCTCTGGACCAAATGAACCACGAGTTTAAGGAACATCGATACAGAAAATAAATTTATGTAAGGTCCAGCAGGCGTGTGAAGTGGCAGAGTAATCCATCTGTCTAGGACCAGAATCAGGACATAGAAGGCCAGAGAATCAGGAAGGAGGGCAGAAGAGCCTGAGGAAGCCCCCGTGGACTGGCAGTCACCTCTCCAGGGTTCCTCTGGCCCCAGCTAGCTAACCTGGAAACATCCCTTATACAGGGGAGATCCACAGAAAAGCATGGCCCACCTCCTTTACAGGTATGTTGTCAGGATCAGATGAGGATGTAGCACACGGGTTTGTAAAGCTCGTCTTTCCTACGAGCCTCCTAAGGTGTGTATGTGCAGCCCTTCTCAGCGCGCTTAAACAAAGAGGAGGATCCTGATGCTTACAGCAGGCTTTTCAGAAGCTACCTACCCCATGACTTCGGGACACACTATGGACTGACTTCCCTGAGATCAAGGTACTTACTGAAGGTGTACCATGCAGAAGCTAGCATGGAGAATTGAGCTATCCTTATAGTTATTACCCTTTCTTGATCCAGTTTTTCTAGATCTCTTCGTTCCCTTTCTAAAGCTTCCTGTTCACTCTGCCTTCTTTCCTCTCTGTGCTTTTCTTTCAGCAGGTTCCATATTCTTTCTTCTTCACTCTCTTCTCCAATTTCTTTCTCATCTATGCCTGAAGGGGCAAAAAATAAAGAGCAAGTAGCTTTCAGCATCATTTTTCAAACCAATGGGGGACTGGTTTACAGGCACTCCTGCTGAGACTCGGGGAGACTGCTCGATTCTTAGCTGGATACTTAGCTTACTGTACTGGCCTGCTGATTCACCTTCACGGTTTTGCAGCCCCCAGCCCCACTCCTAGCACGGCACCTGCCTTTTACTTTGCCTTCTTTTCTCTCTGTGCTTTTCTTTCAGCAGGTTCCATATTTTTTGCCAAAGCAATCTTGTTTTTAACTTTTATTTACTGACTTTTAAAGAGAGGAAGGGAAAGAGGGAGAGAAATATTGGTTTGTTGTTCCACTTATTTATGCATTCATTGGTTGATTCTTGTCTGTGCCCTGACTGGGGATCGAACCCACACCTTGGTGTATGGGACAATGCTTTAACCAACTGAGCTACCCAGCTAGGGCTGCCACTACAGTTTTATAACTCTTCCACTGACTTCCACAAAGGCACTCGAGTTTCTCCTGCCCGGAACAGTAAAAAACCAGCACCCTACCCCTGCACCGCTCCTAGTCATCTTGCCGTCATTCCCCACTTCCTCCAGGCTGATCCCTTCCTGAGGTTTTAGCTAGAGTCTCTGTCCTGATCATTCCCACATCTTTCTCTCTTGTCCTGACCTCTCTGCCAGCCTCACATCCACATTTCTGGCAGGCTCCCTGCCATTAACACATGAAAATCTCATGGCATCAGCTTCATACCTGAAGGTATCATTCCTGTCTCTTTAATCATGCTCTTTCTATGCTACGTTCACTTGGCCACCAGGGATTATAGGTTCTAACTCCTCCTGCTGCTACAGTTAGAGTCCCCATCACCATTTAGCTGGACAGCTGCGGCTGAAATAACCTAGTCAAAGCTCTTCCTGACATCAATCTCTCTGCCTTGAAGCAACCCCTCTTCATCAGCACCTGTCATTTCCTGATGAGAAGACCTGGACTTGCTGTGTGCTGTCTCTGCTCTGACAATCTGCCTGTTTCTTTTCAGACCGACTTCCTACAGCACCATACTGCTTCATTGCAAACACTGCATCTCTAGCAGCAGTCTCATTGTTAGCTGAACATAGCTGAACCTTCCTTGCTCTGTACCTTTACTTTCACTCTCTCCCTAACTGATATGCTCCCTTCCTCCCACCTCCCCAACAAAACTCTACCTCCGAGCAAGCCCCCACTTAAGCACCTCCTCCTCGGTGAGGTCTTCCCAATTCCTTAAGAGACAGTTACCTCTCCACTACCACACCCACACAGTATTTTGTACCTGCCTTGTCCAAACCATGTGTATCTATCTGTCCTATGTCTGTCGTTCCAGATTTAATAAGCTTACTACTCCCTACAGCTTGCAGCACAAATCCCTATACCTCACAGGTTTAACTCAATCTCAGTTCCACAAATGGCTGTGCTGACCTTTCTCCTCTGGCTTTGGAGGAGCCCAAACTTTCTGTAGGATAAACTTGTTCCCCCCAGCAGTGCTAAGAGATAAACTCATAGGTTCACCCAAAGACCTGGAACATTTTTGCTCTGCCCTGTTCTAAGTCCCTGTCAAGAACTGAGTTAATTTTACTAACAGGACAGAGACAACATAGGCTTCTCTGTCTCTTGGTCCTGGTCATGAAATTCAAATACCAGAGCAAGCAGTTGATCATTTCCACAGGCAGAGAAGTGCAATCTCCTCCTTGCTGGTGGAAAAACGGTTATTCCCAAATGCCATCACTTTTCTCATATGGAATAGCAATCTCAAAACAGAAATGCTGTTTGCTTGCTGATTTTTAAAGATAAAGAAGAAAATGGGGCTACTTCTTTGCTGTGGGGTACACAGTCACAAGCCACATAACAAAATTTCGGTCAACAATGGACTGCATATATGACAGTGTATATATACACAGGTTGTGGGCATGATAGTCCTACCCAAACACTGGGAGGAAAAGAAATGATTTTACTTGAGGAATTTCCTTTCAAGCTTGAGGCTTAAACAATTTGGTTCAAGGAGAAAGGGACTCAGCTGGAACGAAGCTCTAGTCTCCCCCTACCGCTTTCCCCCATGCATCCACAGTGGTGAGGGAAGTGGGTAATCTGGAGAAGGTAAAAGGAAGGAGAAAGTGGTCCAGGCAAGTCTGATGACCAGTTTTCCTCCAGTGTCATCAGCTCTTCCAAAAACTGATATATAAAGGTGTTTTGTCCTAATTTTCAAATACATGAAGGAAGGTAACATAACAAAATATTAACATGCTACAATCACACTGAAGATGTATATGGGTATTAACCACCATTTCAATTTTACACTATGATTTCCCAGGACAGAATGGGTTTTGCCTAAGTGTCTTAATCAAAAAGGTAACTGCTCTGTCAGACTTGGGACATGTAAAGAAAATATTTTAAAAGCCATTGGCCCGGGAAGACTAAATGACAAGCCCTAGCTTCCTAATTTTCTCCTCTTTACATGTTCAGATTGGGAGTTACTTCAGAAGTGTCATTAATGATGGCAACACCGCAACTCTAAGAGTTTGAATAATTTATGCTTACAAACAATCGTCCAACAATACATGAAATAATTTACAGGGCACAGACTGGCATTCATAACGTGGTCATACTCCCTATAGCTACAGCCAAGGAAAACTTACTTGGGTGATGAGAGGAGACAGGTCTGGCAGGAAGAGCAGCTGCAGCAGCGTCCAAGTGAGGCATGTCACCGGCAGGATGGAGGCCCTCCATTTCAAACTGCATTGCCATGTCCCCTGCATCTACATGAGGTACAAATGAGTGTCCCATGAGTCCTTAACAACAGCAGCAAGAACGGGAGTGCAGTGTGGGGGTAACTCATCATGGAGTGCTCAAGTCTCAGCCAAAGCAACCAGGCCAGACCTTTCCCTGAAGAATTAATCCTAAAACATTTTCAGCATAACTGCTTGCCAATGTATTCGCTTCTTAAAGTGTTCTTATACTTGAAAGAATTAAATTTGTTTCTTAAATTAGATTCATAACCCAACAAGAAAGTGACAGAAGAATCCACCTGGCTTACTGATAATCATTTGAACTCCAGTTTCCAGACAATGAAGCTAACATACTTTTGCCTCCATTCTTTCACTAAGAATGGATTTTCTGCCCTGGCTGGTTTGGCTCAGCAGTTAGAGTATTGGCCTGCAGACATAAGGATCACAAGTTTGATTCCTGGTTAAGGGCACGTGCCTGGATTATAGGTTGGATCCTCGGCCCTGTCATGTGGGAGGCAACCAATCGATATCTCTCTCTCACATCAATATTTCTCTCTCTCTCTACCTCCTCCTCCCTCCCTTCCAATCTATTCCAAAAATCTATGGAAAAACATCCTTGGGTAAGAATTAACCAAAAAAAAGAGAAAGAATGGATTTCTAAATCTGAGGCAGTTGACAGAATCTGTACAACTTAAAAGAAAATAATTTAGCATCTTCATATTCTATAAAAAGGAAAGGAAATAAACTAAAGAATCACTTATTTCAAATCTGAGGCAATCCCAAATATGATAAATTAAGTTAAGGGTTCACTTGTGGGCTTAGCTCCCACTCTGAAATTACTGGTTATCCTGAAATTTTTTTTTAAAATGGAACTCAATTGTAACCCTGAAAATCTCTGTGATTGAAAAATGAGGTAATACATCTTTATTTATGATTTTATCACAAAACACAAATGCCCTAATTTGTAAGTGCTTTGGTTTTTATAACAATATGTTTCACCAAAACTTAGCTTTCTACATTTTCAACTTACAAAAACTGGTACTTATATTTGAACTTACATTCAAAAGATGATTCAGATTCCTCATTATCCTTAAAAGATAGCTTGTCCACATTTGAAAATTCATTTCTATCTTGAAGTTCAGTTTGTCTCTGGTAAAGACTGGGTTGGAAGAATAAAATTTATGAGTGTGAAGCTATAATAACGTAAAACCCAAGAGCACAGGATAATAAAATACCTTTTGTGACTCAAGAAAATGCTTTAGAGAATGAATTGTGCTGAGAATAAAAGCTACCCTGCACTGGGCACTCTCCATGCACCAGGCATCATTCCAGCTCAGGTACTCCTCAGAGCGACCTTACACTGTCAAGTAGGTAATACCATTGTAAACAAGAGGTAATGTTGCACTCAGTGCTATTCCTAGGATCTTATTTTTTCAAGAACCACAAAACATTTTTGAAAAAAACAAATTCTGCACACCATCTGCGTGAGTCAGCTGAAGATGTAATACTACAAGCCCCACATGCATCAAAGTGCCCTAACTCACCGTGTGTGTGTTCTGTCTCTCCTCTTGGCTTTATCACATGAGAGAGTGATATAAAACACACACACACACCCATCCACCCATTCATCTGCTGGTGGGCACTTGGGCTGTTTCTAGATCTTAGCTATTGTAAATAACACCGCTATGAACATAGGGGTACATGTATTCTTTCTGACTGGTATTTCGGGATTCTTAGGATCTATTCTCAGAAGTGGGATCATGAAATCTAATGAACAAAATAAACTGACAAACAAAACACGATCAGAGGCATGGATACATGAAACAGACTGACAAATCTCAGAGGGGAGGGGAATGGGGGGACTGGAAGACACTAACCAAAGACCATGTATGTATATATGCATAGCCCATGGACACAGACAACAGTGTAGGGAAGGTCTGGGGTGGGGCAGGGGCTGGGTGGAGGGGGCAAAAGGAGAGAAAATGAGGGACATCTGTAATACTGTCAACATAAAAAAAAGAAGAAAATAATATATATACACACACACACACACACACACACACACATACACACACATTACATGCATTAGGACCATGATAGGCACATGTGGCAGTTTTCAACTCTGTACAGTAGGACTGAATCATATGCAGACAGATGTCCAGCCTGGAGCTCAGAACTAAGGAGTCAGAGTCTCCCACCATAAGGATCAGGCACAGGCAGGAGTCTCACATGTTACTCAAATCCCAGCCTGGGGACCCACTGCCAAGCTTCTACATAAGTCTACTCCGTCCTGCTTCAACAATCAGACTCTATGACCCACTACCACTTCAGAATTCATCTCAATAGACAAATTCAAATTTCGTTTGTTTGGACTTAAATGCAAAATATTTCTTAAATGACTTTTTAATGATGTGTGAAACTACTTCAAGTTTAAAAATAAACTGAATTTATTTGCTTTTGCAGATTTTGTATGTCGCTTTCTGATCTTTATAAACCAAGTCTATTCATGGAACTAGGAAGATGCTTATTGCTACCATAGTGCATATTGTACACATCAGGTTTAGCAAACAAGGAGAAATTACTTATTTGCTAAAAGGAATTTTCCCTAGGTAATTCAGATGATTCTCAAATATCACACCTCATCTTACAACCTGACTGCAAATTCTATACTGTCAAGTGGTCTTGAGTGTCACCTTAAAACACCAAACAAGTCAAGGCTGAGATCCCATGAAGCTCACCAGACTTGGCTGGGGCCCACCAGCATACAGGACTTACTCAGCCTTCTGCTCCAGAGGGCCAGAGAGTGAATGGATGGAAAGGCTGTGCCTAGATTCAGTTGGTGAAGGCTGAAGCATTCTTTCAGAAGGACTGGGGGCAGCAATGTGGAATTGGGCCAGACCTAAGAGGCAGAAGATATCAAGGCAAGAACGTTACAAATTACGCAGAAAAAAAAAAAAAGACAATGTGGTTTCTAAGGAGTGCTATTAGTTTGAAAAGAAATTCTATTATCCTTGCAAATAATTGAGTATGATGCGTAAATGATCCACAGCATTGACGATTCAAGCACCTAAATGAAACTGCAGTGATTACAATAAAATGTATAAAACTAATCTGCAGTAAGGGAAAAGCCGTTGATTATCACTCTCTGAACACGTCTGCATGCCAGGCAAAATGGGAGCTTGCCACTCTATCCCACTGGATCCTATACCAATCCTGTGACATAGGGGAGAAGCCACTGGTAAGCAGGCCACATCCAGTGCAGCGAGGACTCAACTGCTCAGGCTAGAGATATCCCAGGCCCAGGGCTTTCCTGGGCCCAGCTAAGCATGTGCTTTCTGCTCCTTCCTGCTGTCTATGACTCGGATAAGAGGTCCACTAAGGACAATCCAAGTCCAGAGCATCCTGCAACCCTTTCTGCAGAAGCTTACCTTCCAGATCCATTTCATCATCAAGGCTTTGTTTAGCTTTCTCTACAGGAGTGGAGGAGAGGCGTCTGCCAGTGCCTCTGTGTATCCATGAGGCTACATTGCCCAGCACTTCTTCCATGTTGCCCACCAGAGGCTGCTTGGGCACAGCTCCTTCCTCTGCAAAAAGACACCTTTCCGAAGAACTTGAAGTCATGTTTTTAAGCGGTCCTCGCAAGTGCAGGGGTGGAGGGCTCTTGGATACTAGTGGGTTTCTAGCAACAGGGTATTGACTAACTCTCTGACGGTAATCTAGGAAAGCATCTTCTAAGCATTTGGCCTCCTGCTCTAGCTCTTTCATTCTTGCCTTGGTGTTGGCTACAAATTCAAGGTCAGAATCAGGGGAGCTACCATCCATGTTTGCATATGGATAATTTATGATCCTTGGCATGACTATGCCTGTCATAAGCTTTTCCTGTTTGAGAGGATTTTTCAATGAATCTCCGCTTATTTCACCATCAGGAGGCATCATGAATCCACTGGCAGAACGATGGAACACAGACATCTTTGGATTGCGATACACCTCATTCTCCAGGGCTGTGAGTTACAGAGATAATGTGACAAATGAGTGAAGAATAAAATTCAAATATGCTTGAGAATTTTTTTTTGAAAAATGAAAGAAGGTAATAATAAGAACAAACATACACATTAAACAATTTCTGAAGCCACAGTAATACTAATAATTACTTATTAGCATTTATTGAGAGCTTTTATGTACCAGTCACAGTTTCACAGGCCTTCCCTTTTCTAGGCCTTCTTTCTTAATGCATGATATTATTTCCCAATCTATCATACACAATCTTGCAATCCAAAAAGCTCTGAGAACTGAACATTTATTGCTAATTTATTTGGTCACAAAGCCCAAGCAGCCCTGAACTCATTTGGTTGATAAACTTTACCTGAACTGATGCAAACCTGCTCATAATCTTTATTTATTCTACCTGGCTTGGATAGTCATACATCTGACTGCTTACATGGTTCACTAAAGGATGCTGCCCCAGAACTCCCAGGGCTGTGGCAAAACCACTGTAGGGTCCAAGTTTCAGATAAGGGAGGGAGGACCTACAATTATAACAAGGTTGGGAACTCTCCCTCCTCCCACATTACAGATGGGGGCTGAGGCTGGGTCACACAGGTAGCAAGGTGTACAGACACTGAGACTCCCTAACACAAAGCCAGGCCATGTGGACGCTCCTCTCCAGCAATGCCTCCAGGACAATGCATGTGTTTGAAAAAGTTTCATCCTCAAACTACTTTTCATCGTTTGAGATCACCATGATTTCAGCTGTGGGAAGTTGGTAAACAAGACTTGTTGAGAGAAAAGAAGGAACAGAAAATTAGTAGAGAGATAAAAACAAAACTAGTGTGGGAGAAGGGAACAAGAACTGATGAGGAAAGAATGCAAATGGAAACTGAGGAAGGCTCAGCACCAGGAAGCATGAGAAACCAGTTCAAATGCTAACACACGGAAACTTCCTTCAAGCTTGAAAGCAGCAAAAGAAGGTATCTAAGCTTCACTACACTTTGTATGAAGTAGGAAGGAGCAGATATGCATCCTCAATGAAGACATGCAATAACATGATAGCAGCAACCCTTCCAAGTGTCTGATGTGTCCCAGGTGCTCCAATGGGACCCATCTCATTTCATCTTCTTCACCATGGCCCAGGAGGTATTCTTATCTCCATTACAAATGAGGAAATTGAGGTCCAAGGAAATTAAATGTGCTTAAGGTCAATCACCTAATTTCAGAATTGAGGTATAAAAACAAAACACTATATAAAATCATTGTGATTTATGCTAATGTGACATAAGCCACCTTGCTTCTCCCTTATGCTTTCTCATCTTTCAAGGAACATGAAAAACCACTGAAGGGTCAGACTGATCTTATCGGGGGTAACAAATACAAAAGAAAAACCTTGGTCCACAATGAGTTTGAGGTATATCATCACCACACCTTTCTTACTTGGGGTATGAGGCTCTCCCATGCCATGGGGCACCTGTAAAAGCAAGTCAGGTTCGCTGATGACACTGCTGGCATTCCTGATATGAATACAGTGTTTTACTCCTAAGATGACATATTTCTATGGCTTTTCCCCTACTATGAGAATTACTAAAATTTCAGTGAGTAACGATCATTATATTTCCACAGACATCAGAAGTTTTACACATACATGTTCCCAGTTATAGGTTAAAAATGTCTCTAACCTTTCTGAGTTTGTTTCAGTTGCAATTTTAAATCAGCCACTTGCATAGTTAACGTCTTTACAGAGGCATCATAATCTAATATCTGGGCCTTCAGCTTTGCAGAATGCTCAATCTGAAAAGATTTAGCGAAGGAAAAGAAATCAATGTAAAAGAAATGCCAACTAACTTCAAAAGGAACAAGTCTCGCCCAGCTGGTGCAGCTTAGTGGTTGAGCATCAACCCATGCACAAAGAGGTTACCAGTTCAATTCCTGGTCAGGGCACATGCCCAGGTTGTGGGCCTGATCTCCAGTGGGGGGCATGCAGAAGGCAGCCAACCGAAGTTCTCTCTCATTGATGTGTCTCTCTCTCTCCCCTTCTCTCTCTCTAAAATCAATAAAGAAAAAATATTTTTAAAAACAGGAACAAGTCTCTTATCGGGCTTTTTCTCTTTTTCTGTTTTGCCCATTCTGAGCAGGTTTATGCCTGTGATCCACAGGTCCCTAAAAAAACAACAGAGCACACAAACACATTTTCCACCTCCTTATTCACTTGTCTCAAAGAACAACTACTGTGGGGCATGAGGCAGACACCATAAAGAGAGTGTAGATATTTCTAAGTCTCAGGGTGAGGATCAAGAGATACTAATGGTAGGCACTATCAGTTCTTGGACAATTTTGTGTTGATGTGTGTTTGCTTTCCTCTGGATTTTATTACTATTATGAATATAAAGTCATATCACTCCAGAATTTTCTCCGATGAGAAAATCAATCTGATTTATGCTAGTGTGACATATGCCAAGTTTACACGTGTACAAAGTGGACTGGCCTAACACCTGGCAAGCAAAGTGCAGTACTCACTTCGCTTTGCAGCTGTTTGTGCAGAGCTTCCTTGTGGGTTTCGAACTCCTTATGCCCCAATATGATAGCAGTTTCTGCTTTCTTTAATTGTTTCTGAAAATTTAGCAGCTCAGGAGATGGCTGAGCTATGCCTAAGAAGGTAAAAAAAGCCTGGTGATTACCAACCATAAGTTTTCTCATTTCACTTAGCAAAAGCAGTTAAAGAGATTTTAAATTGCTCTTTCTTTTCTTTGTACACATGTAGTTAAATATCATAATAATTCTATGAAATGGACTAAGAGCAATCCTGACTCACAAATTTAAGAATTTAATGCATGCAAATGCAAACTTCACTACTCTTCCTAGTCCCACTCCAAGTGAAAAAATTCTTTCCAATCCTCAAATTAACTTGAATGCCCACCTCTTTCCTCTGCCATGCACAGATGGCATAGAAAAAGCTCTCATCCAAACCTGTTGATGACTACCCGAAGTCCAATACGATCTGTGCATCTGTCAGCGGCACTCAGGGTCCGGGCAGACAGCAGATGGAATTCCCCCATTTCAGTCATTGGAGGACCCTCTAATAAAAGGTGACTCACGTAGGGTAGCCACAAAGGATGGTATAGTTCCCTGGGCTAGTAGAGGGGACTTACTGGTAACACTCCTTGGGCTTAGAGGGTCAGGAAGGGAAGAATTCCCAAAACTGGAGAGAATGAGCTGGCATAGGTGCAGGGCGCACATGAGAGACCATCCTGCAAGCTAGGATCTTGCCTGGTTGAGAGGCAAAGGGCCAGCCCAAAGCCCAAAGTAGAGGCAGGAGGGGGGTGACAGGGAGGGATAACAACCACCTCAATCTCATGCTCATCCCTCCTTCCCAGCGCTGAGGATGTCCCCACTGGCCAAACCTGAGCAGCAGAGGGCAAGGGAAGACCAGGACAATCCGTAGAGGCAAATTTGTACAATTTAAAAATATTTCTTCTTAGTGACACTAGTAATCATGCAATAGCAATAGCAAGCAAAAAGCAAGTAACTAAAAATTCAGATCTTAAATTACAGGTACAAAGCAGTTTCATAATACTGAGCTAATACAAATTACAAAGACATGCAAATCAGGAAAAAAGACATACGGTTTAAGAGATGCAAGTTGTCATTTCTGCTCTCTTCCAGTTGTTGTTTAAGTAATTTATTTTGTGCCTGAAGCTCCAGTTTCTCTTCTTTTAGAAGTGAATAGTCATTCATTTCTTTCACCTTTTCATTTAGCAGGTGGTTTTGCTTTGTTAATGCCAAAGACTGGGCCTTGAGAGACTCGAGCTCAAGCTGGAATTGAAAAAGCAAAACCTGTATTGGAGCTCTACCTACAACACTTCTTCCATAAAAGTTGGGCAGCTGCTTTAAGCTGGGTGTCCCGCTTTAATTCAGGTCCCTCAACAAGTCTGGCTCCCTGTAGTAAGAAGCCTGACTACAACCATGAAAATCCTTTTGCCCTAGAGCATACTCTTTCTATGCTTCCCTAAGAGACTGAGACTGAAATGAAGAACTATTGAATTAACTTAAGTTGGGCCATCACCTTCTTAGTCATACAGTAAATAGTCCAAACACATCAAGAGGATAACAAGCTAAATTATGTATAACTGAAACTAAAATTTCATATATTGCTGACAATCAATTAAAAAAAAAAAACAATAGGCTTAGCAATTACCTCAAGATCTTTCACATGATTTGCAGAATCACTGAGTTCTTCCTTTTTTGAATTAACAATTGTGAGCTGCTCTTGTAAAAGTATAGCTTTTTCTGAAAGAGAGAGCCAACCAAGTAAACATCATGTTTTTCTAGTGAATACAAAACTTATTTAAGAATGTATGGCTAGTATGTCAGACCTAATGAACATTATTTCATAATCCTAAAATAGCAGATGTCAGAGTCAAAAATCAGCAGGGCAAGTAAGAACTAAGCCGTTACCCAACAGGTAATGGGAAGTTAGTTATAACGGTCACATATGTGGTGAACTTCCTTCTGCTACACACAACAACCAGAGTCATATTATGTGCTCAGGGCCCTCACACTAACAGATCTGAATTTCCTTAAACACAAAGATTTGTCTTGTGATCTTATAGTCACTATTTTGTCATTTTCACTTCATCTAATACAAGTCTATGCAGATATATCATCAAAAGATAATTTGCTGGCTACATTATTGTACTAATTCCTAAAGAAGTATGAGTCACCACAAGATAGTCACAAAGGAGCAGCCACCCACTGGGTGACCTTACAGGTTAATATCAAGTACCCAGCCCTGGTTTACTCCAAGAATTCCTTCCAATTTTCCACTGAAGTTCAACTTCTTGTCACAGGCAAGTTCCTAGAAATATACTAAAATGTAAAATACCTAGAGATTGAAAAATTATCCAACTTTCCCAGTCCTGGGCTAATGCATATAACAGTTTAGGGGGTTATATGTCAAGTGAAAATATCATGAAGCATAAAAATATATTAGAAATAAAAGAAATAAGAAACCAGGTGATAGGGGACAGAAAAATTAAAGCAAAATTTTCCATAAGTACAACATGAAGTGTCTCCTGGTAAAAACCACAATGAGATATCACCTCACACCTGTCAGAATGGCTATCATCAATAAATCAACAAAGAACAAATATTGGCAAGTGTGTGGAGAAAGGGGAATCCTCGTGCACTGTTGGTGGGAATGCAGTCTGGTGCAGCCACTGTGGAAAATAGTATGGAGTTTCCTCAAAAAATTAAAAATAAAGCTGCCATGGCTTCAAGACAGTATGTGTAGTATACCCTCATTTCAATAAAAAATGTCTCTACATATCTCAGAAAAAATAAAATAAAATTAAATTAAATTAAAAAGCTGCCATTTTCCTTCAGCAATTCCACTTCTTGGCATATATTCGAAAAAGCAAAAATACTAATTTGAAAAGATATACATATGCACTTATGTTCATTGCAGCATGACTAGTAACAGGCAAGATATGAAAGCAACCTAAATGTTCACCAACAGATGAATGGATAAAGAAGCTATGGTATATGTACACAATGGAATATTATTCAGCCACAGAAAAGAATGAACTCTTGCCATTTGCAACAACATGGATGGACCTAGAGGGTATTATGGTAAGTGAAATAAGTCACAGAGAAAGACAAATACTGTACTGTATGATTTAATTTATATGTGGAATCTAAAAACAACAAATGAATAAACAAAACAAATCCATAAAAATAGATAACAAGCTGATGGTTGCCAAAGGTAAAGGAGGTAGGTAGATGGGGGGGAGGGGAGTCCTGAATATCCTCCTTCCTCTCAGGTTAAAGTTCATTTTCGACATATTATTTTTCTTATTTAAAAAAAATATACAAAGTTGGATAAAATACTGCCAGTGAATCACTGACCTTTGTGAATATACAAAAGGTCAAACAGGAATGTTTGCAAAAACATAGTAAAAGACAATGATTACTTTTTAAAGTTTGTAAAGTTAAAAGGACAAAAAGTATCTAATTTTGTAGTAACAATGACTCACCTTTAATCTTCCTTTCCTCTTCAACCAGTCTGTTCGTTCTGGCAATGTAGTTGTCCTTTATCTCAAGTTGATACCTGAGAATCAGAATGACTAAAATGAGTTTCTTGTCACTTTCCTGGACAGATCCTTATCAATGTGTGGACAGATCCTTATCTGTGGACCCATACGCCTAAGGGCACTGAACATGACCATGCATAACTTCAAGAGCTCTCAGTACTAAGGTCAGAGATCCAAATTCTGAATATACAAGGTCTAGTAAAAGCCTGCTCTAATCTTGTAAATTGGGTCCCCAAAACTCATGTTATTGTGAGGTTACTAAGAACAATTATTCCATGTTAGCATGGACTGACCAAAAAAAAAAAAAAGTAAATTAAGTTAAATTTACACCATATACAACTGATTCTAAATCCCAATAGAAGAAATTAGTCATGTCTAATCCACCTGCCTTGCCCCCAACCCCTACCAGAAGAACTTTTGCTTCAGGGGCTGGGCACAGTATTGAGAGCCAACTACCAACACCTTAATGTCCAGGGTAGCAATACCAAAAGGCACACTTTCGAGCAGTTTTACTCATCTCCATCAACTGCTACTAAAGACTTTTTGGTTCAAAGATGGGAGACAGGAAAGAGAAGCACTCCTGTGGTGAATATCCTCCGAACTCAAACACTTACTAAAGTCATAGAGGATACCCAAAGCAGACAAATAATACCAAACACTTCACAATCTCCATGGAGATGGAAAGTTAATATACACACTTATTCATTTACTCCTAAAAGTTTAACAACTACAGATACGTCAGTGTTTGCTACTATATCCGAGGAGCTGACATAAAACATGTAGAGATAACATCCATCATTTCAAAATCAATACATGGAAAGGTACTATATTTCTTTTTTATTAGAATTCTTTTAAGAATAAGCTCAAGAAACCTTTGCAAGTACAACGTGATGAAATATCAATGACAAATTATGGGCAAGGTAGTAGAAAGAGGCCAATAATTAAGAAATACCAGAGCAGCTCAGTTGAGTCATCTTTTCACCAATTCATTTACTCAAGGAATATTAACTGAACACTTATTATGTGCCAGACACTATATTGAGCACTAGAGAGAAAATTTACCATATGAGTTTAATGTCTTTGCACTAAGGTATTAGTCACTGTAACACAATAAAACTCAGACTACAGGAAAGCCATAGTAACCACAGTTACCTCTGTATATTTTGCTTCATAGAGTTCATTTCAGTTTGTTTCTTTTGATTGTGGCTTTGCACAGAATCTTGAGGTATACAAGGCTCATACCCACTGACAAATACTATAATCACTAGGTAGAATAATTTATAAATTGTTAGACACCCCCATCATAGAGGTAGTATGAGTGGGGTAGAGGAAAAGAGAACCAAAAGTGATTATAATTCCACTTTTATAGCTTATCAGCAGTGCAAGCTGAGCAAGCCACAAGGTGCCCTTAAAAAAAAAGCAAATCACAGGCCCTAAATACATGTTAGAGACACTATGAGTAAGAACGAGCAGAGAATGCTAGTCTCTGTATTGTATCTTTTTAAAACTATCTTGACTTTTAATGAAAACATATGTTTTTTTAAACACTAACTTCCACCAAAAAATGTTAGTCTTATCTACTTCATTAGTGTTGTCATGTTTCCATCAACTTAATTCAAACATATTACTCCTTTAAGAATGCCAAACAATTACTTCAGAATTTCATTCTTGAGCTTCTGGTCATAGGTCTCCTCCATGCTCTTTATATTCAGCTCCCGTCTCTTAAGTGCATCAGTCACACTTCTGTATTTTTCTTCCTGTAGCCTCTGAACCCTGAAATTAGCAAAAATATAAAAAGCAAATAAGAAACTCTAATATCTAATGTAAAGACTTTAAAAGAAAAAAATAACATGTGATTTTAGCTCCACAGACTAAAAGGTTATGTGACTGTCACTGCTGGGAAGTAAATGGAAAGAGCCAGAAGTACTCCATCTATTTTATGAACAGACCAAGCTTTGAAAGATCTGAAGTAGCAGATGGAGGAGCTATACGGTGGCACCAGGCTAGAGGGAGTGTGAAAGTGTCGAGACCAAAGTGCTTTTTCACAGAAGATGATTCACAATTAAAAAATGGTTACACCAGTGTAAAGGTTAAGACAGGCAAGTCTCTTTTGTGTCCTCTTCTGCCTTGCATGTTCATGTTTTTGTTCATCCTTATGCTGAGGGTATAGCTTTTGGGGTTCTACTTCCTATGAGGCATTTCAATCAAACTCCTCTCCTGGGGTAACCCCTGGGTTTTATCCTCTGTCCTCACTACCTGTCAGCCACCCACAGGGATGCTGAGGTCTCCAGGGTCACCAGTAAGTTATTGTTAAGTGAGAGCCAGCTTGAGTGCTCACTTATCTTCCTAGGTTCCTGTATTAACTATATTTTCTTTTTTTTTTATTTTGATGACTGTTTTATTAAAAACATATACATGCATACACACAAAAAAAATAAAAAATAAAAAAACAGATACAGGTGATAAATGGCCATCATCAATTTAGACATGAAGGAATAATGTTATTAAGTTATAAAGCTACAAGCCTAACTTAAGTTAGTGTATTTTAATGCTTATTTCTTCTGTAAGATAGTTTCTGTGAGATTTAATTAGCCCATAAGTATTAAAGATAGAATATTTGTTTTGGCATTTAATAATATAGTGATTGAATATTAAAGAGTGCTGAAAGAGGGAGCACAAGATAGATGGATCAATAAGAACTTTCAAATACAGAAGAACAGAATGGTCTTCAAGTGAGACCTTAAATCAACCATAAATCAATCCCAGAGCCAGGGAATCAGGTTCATGGGAATTAGATCAAGCCATGAGAAGTGCTAGGGAACAATAACCATTCCAAACAAAGGATAAAAGCTCTACGTGTTAGCTCCCTCTAATGACTAATCAGTAAAGCAAAGGAGCAGTAAACTACATTTATTAGCTACACAGTATGCTTAGAAGGGAGGAAGAGTTAGGGGAAGTGGAGGTAAAGTGATGAGATAATCATGAGCTATCTCCACCCAAATTTTGTCACTTTCCTTTTCTCTCATGCTCAATTTACCATTTTAGTACTGCCAAAAAGAGAGTAAGGTAGGCAGAGAGGAGAAATCAAATGAATCGATCCTGTATCAATGAAAGACAACATAAATGAAGATGGAGACAAATCCTTTAATGAAATAAGAGTATCTGTGAGTGTCAACTAATAGTAGAACCTACTCCATAGAAAGCTTGTTCCATAAACTAGACTGGTGAGCTTGCTATTAATCCCAGGTGAGATGTGAAGAATGAAGCACTGGTGAGCACTTAGATAAAGTATACACACATCACAAGACAGTTTCACCCAGTACAAGTCAAGCCACCTCATTTCCTGTGACAGCAGAGCAGGTAAATGTACCTGAAATTCAGTCATTGTATATACATGCAACCATCAGATCTCAATGACTGAATGAAAGTGTGCAACATAATTTGTTCGAATTACCTGTCTGGTTTCACTGCAGCCTGATGACGGTGTCTCATTGATGGCACCTTTACAACCAAGAACTACTTGACAATTAACATAAGAATTCTTGGACTTATTTAGTTCTTTTTAATATCAGAGACTGAATATCCAAAATGAAAGTTATTACTTACATTTCAAAAGCTTCAATTCTTTGCTTCAGCTCTGCTTCTCTGCCTCTTAGCAAATCTATATCTTTTAGAAGAAGCTGTCTTTGAGCATAAATTTCTCTTGTTTCCATCTGCACAGGAAAGCATTAATTTTTAGCAAGCAAGCTAAATAAAACAAGATTTGAACAGACTGCTTCCTAAATTTCAGAAAACAAAGTACAGACATTTAGAGTAATGATTTCACTTTCAAGAGGTTCCACCTTGAGATATGCATTTATCCTGTTCTACTAACACAACTATTTACTCCCTGCCCCAATGACTGTTAAGCTATATTACCCTATGTTCCTAACACGCCTTGTGTAATTATTCTACTTAATTAACATCTCTTAAATACTTAAAATTTTGGTAAGTTCTTCAGCAAAAAAGATGAGACAAAATGCACATTCAGCAATAAAACTTAACAAAATAGAATCCCCATGGTTGGGTAGTTGTTGTCTGAGTCACAGGTCATTCTAACTCAGTATTAGCAAGCTCCAATGAAGCCCTGAATGAATAGGCCACACTTCCATTTGTGTGTTCAATGAGCAAGGATTTATTGAATATCATGTCAGAAAGCACACTAGGAACTGGATATGAAAAGATGAACAGATACAGTCCTTATCTTTTAAAAAATTCACAATTTACTAAAGGTGAGAGAAACAATCAGACTACAATGTGATGATTTCACAGAGTCCAGTTTCCATGGCAGGAATGACACCTAAGTGAGTCCATCAGAGGGAGTCAGGGAAGGCGTCACCAGGAGGCGACATTCCAGCTGGAATTTGAAGGATAGAACCGTTTTATCAGGAAGAGAAGGGGAAGGACATTCAAGATGGTGCAATAAAGGCATGGTGCCTTTTACAAAGATGGCAATCTTCTCCAGAGCCTTCAGAGAATCTATTGACTAAATGGGGACTCATGTTGGTAACTGGGTGATCTGATCTAGTCAGTCAACTATCTTGAAGATGCAAGTGTTAGTCTGAACACACTCCAATCATCGCAATGATCAATGTTTCCAATATTTATTTATAGCTAAAATGAGCCAACTTCCCACAAATGCTATACAAAATCGTAGAGGGGCTGCAATTACCATCAATAACTGGGTCTTACTGAAAAGCTCCAGGCAAGGGTTGACACCAGGAGAAAGCCTCTTACTTCCACCATCTCCTAGTTCTGGCTGTACATAGGAAACCGTGCCCCAAATCCAGTCTGGTCTGACACACCCTTGGGAAAGGAACCTGTTTTTCCTAAAGGAGTGGACCCAATCCCCGCTGCCGACATGCACCCCCTGCCATTCAACCTCTCCAACCTCCTGCCTAGTCACCTTCCCGCGTGACAAGATCAAATAGCCACATGGATGATGCTTGCAGCCCCGGACTCCTCTACTACAGGGACCTTCACCTGTGCTTGATGGAAGCACACTGCATTTGCTTTCCAACGTCACCAGTAACCTCAACCTGCAACTGTGTCCTCTTGGTCCACTCTTATTCTTCCACTTGTCAGTATCCCCCATACCTATTCCTTGATGTCGGAGACTGCCACGTAGCTCTCCCTTCTACCCTAGGTTAGTAGCCATTCACCCTCTGCTCTGGTTCCCTTCACCACCATGCCAAACCCCAGTGTCTTCAACTAAACAGGCTGCTTTTCTCAAATGAAGTAAATTCGACTCTATAAAGCTCCACTCCCCAATCACAACTATCTTTCTGCCCTCACTGACCTTCCAAGTTCTCCCAAGAGCTACAACAGAACAATCACCTACAAGTACTTGGTTTGGTCTACTTCAATTCCAGGTTTCCCACCTCAGCAGGGCCCCCAAAACAGCTCAGGCAGTCCTGCCTGCTTCAGAGAGCTGCTGTTCTTCCCTGACCCCCAGCAGTCATTCCACAGCTCTGGCCCTCTCCTCGAGGTTGCCACCTAATCCTCACATCTCCCGCTAATTCAATGCAAGTTTCTCACACTCCTGACACAGACATTCACATCCCCTTTCCTCTCAGCAGTCTCAGAGGAAGGGAATCTGCGTATCCTTTTCAAGGCCAAGTCCTCCACTTGCACTCTTGACCCTAGTCCCTACTGCTCCTCTAGGGCCTGAGTCATGGACTGTTCCAGCAAAATGCCCCATCCTCCTCCTGGACTTTGAGCCAATCTACTAACAGCTGCAGAAAAGAGCCACCCAGTAAATAATTTTAAATTATTACCTCCTGGTGCTTTTGAATTCTCTCAAGGGACATCTTTTCCCGAGAAAGGAGGGCTTCAGATTTTGCTTGACAAGTTCTCTCAACGTCATTCCAGAACTTTTCTAATTCCTTCTCTGACTTTCTTTTCTCTTCCATTTTAATTTTTACTATTTCAGTATTTTTAAAATGCTTGAACTGCCAATTGATCACAAATAATTGTAAATACCAATAATAATACAAAGAAAATAGTAACAAATTCTCCATGGTTAGGTTTAACATTCATGCTCTAAATAATTTAGTTTAATTCATCTTTAGTTACATTTCATTCACTGTACCTGCAGGAATTCACTCAAAAGGCAAAAAGAAAGGACATTAAATGGAAAGAAAACTAACATGAATAATATAGTATCACACTCATTAATAAAGATTCTAGATATTTTCCTACATACCTAAGATTAAGAAGGAAAAGACAAGCAAAAATATTACTTTTGTTAACCGCAACAAGATAAACTTACCCTTTCATGCATTTCTGCCTGAAGCTGCTGTTTTATTTCTCTCTTATAGTCATTTAACTTCATTTCTAAAGATTCTAACTTTGGATGCTGAGGGTAAGCACCTGCAAACTGATCGTCAATATCCTGAAGCTTGTCAGCTATTAAAAAAAAAGAACACTGGAAATTAGGGTAGACAAAAGTGGTCAGGTAAGCAAAAGGCCAGAGGTATGTTCAAAAGCAAAGAGTACAGCCCTGGTCAGTTTGGCTCAGTGGTGAAGCATCAGCCGGTGAACCAATGAGTCATGGGTTCGATTCTGGTCAAGGGCACGTACTGAGGTTGCGCTCCATTCAGGTCATGCAGGAGGCAACCAGATGATGGGTCTCTATCACATGAATGTTTCTCTCTGTCTCTCTCTCCCCCCCCCCCCACTCTATCTAATGAAAAATATCTTCAGGTGAATAATATATTTTTTAAAAAGCAGAGAGTACAGGTAGCGTACAGGGATGTCTGCAGTTTACTTGGAAATAATTCAAAAAAATTGAGATGGATTACTGGATGGGCAGAAAGTGACCAAACAAGTACAGTACAAATTTAATGGTGAACTGTAAAACTTCCAACTTTTTGAATGTTTGGAACTTATCATAAAATGTCAGGGAAAAAGAAAGCAAAGTTTAAGTCAGAAAACACTGCCATCTCTTTCCATTCTCTAAATGTCAAAGCAGAGAGTTCATTTATTGGACTTTGGTGAAAGTTGAGTCACATGGTCCAAACACTGACCTAAAGTGAATCAAACATCATGAGTTTCAAGTCTTCCGTTTTACAGAGGACACAGATGCCCATACAGTGTAAGTGACTCCCAGAAGTCTAACCAACTACATAATGGCATAACTGGGACTAAAGCCAGGTCTACTGATTGTCTCTCTCCAGCAGACCTGTGGCCCTCAAACCAAATGTAGATCAGAATCAATCAGGCAGCAAAATGCAAACCCAGAACAGGAGTACAATGTCAATCATGTAAACACTAGTGCCCACTAAAAAGTATGCACAGGAGTAAAAAGCTAGCAGAAGTAGATTAAGGTATTTGAACTTACTGTCTAACAAGTTAAAGGCACTATTGCTCCTTAAGAGTAAGGAAGGGCCAGGATTAATCACAGCATTTTGGCCAGCTGTTTCCCCTCTCTCCTGAGCATACAATGAAAAGGCAGGATGCTATTGTAGAAAGGCTGTACACGTGGAAAAGGCTCTGGATCATGGACCAGAAAACTTGGACTCATATCAGTTCTGACCCACACTTGGTATTTCCAAGTTGCTTTTCCTTCCTCTGGCAACCTTGGTTTCCTCAACTATAAAATGAAGTGATGGGCTACCGACTTCTCTAGTTCTCTGCAATGCAAATAGTCTAGGATCTTCTCACGTTAGTGGCTATAAAATAGATGAAATACAGGGAAGAGCCTCTCAGTTGAGAGGTTCGACTCAACAAATAAGAACGCAGACCTTTGTATCCTCATGAGTTTTACAAAGTGCCACCCTGGTGGTCCTGGAGGGAGGGACAGCACTGGAGAGCAGGGCCTGGTCCCTTCCAGCAATGACATCAAAGGAAATGAGCACCCTGCCTGCAGCTTACATCCCTCTCAGTCTAGGAACACACACAACACAGGAAAGCAGGTCATTTCCTTCATTCAAAAAAAGAAAACAGAAAACTCGAAGTTATGAAAGAAGCCTGAAATTACCAAGAGAGTCTTTGTTAGGAAATGTTGGATTTGTCTGTGTGTTCATGTCACAAGTCTCTTTAGCCTGATGATGTTCTGCCATTTCTTTTAGAAACTCCACGAGAAAACCTAAAAAAAAATTGTATATAGTTTCATCTCACAACTCTCTTTCATCCAACCATTGCTCAGTCACTCTATAAATTTTGGGTTTATAACATTATCCTTTTTCACACTGTGTTATCTTTTAAGAATAATTTTTGAGGGAAGTTCTTTCAGAGTATGACACAAAAATCTAGAAGCGATAAAGAGAAATATCTGACAACATAAAAATTAAGAACTTATATATAGCATGAAATAAAGTCAAAAGACAAATGATACGCTGGGAAAAATATTTGCTATAATATGGAGACAGAGCACTAATTTTCATAACATCAAAGAGCTCCCATAAATCAATCAGAAAATTTTTAAAAGGGTATGGACAAAGAGTTATAGAAAAAATTGTAATGTCAAATAAATGAACAAAATCATAAATAAATGAAAATTAATACAACAGAAAGATCCTATTTTCCCAGTAAGATTGCTCAGATCAAAACTCTGAAAACATACACACACACACACACACACACACACTCTGATCATCCTTGAAGTGCTGACAAGGGAGTGGGGAAATCTGCAGGCTCAATCACTCAGGAGGGAAATCTGTCAATGTTTATGTGTATTCAAAATGCACGCATCCTTTAACCTAGTCATTGCACCTCTAGGAATATACACAGTTATACTTCCACAGGGACACAAAGGGTGTACACTGCACAATGCTTCTAATGGCAAAACCCAAACAATAAAACAACAAAACCTCAATAGGTAGTTAATTAAATACATTCTTTAAAAATAGTCTAAATATATAGCTACAGAAAGATATATTGGTGGCTAAAGAAAGCAAATTGGAAAATAGTTATCTATAATATGACCTCATTTGTGAATGTGAGTTTTTATTACATAGACCTGGACTTCAGGTTCGTAAACTAAATTCTAGTAGGATACACAGGAAACGATTCATTCCAGCTATCGGCAGAAAGTGAGATTAGAGAATACAGCCAGAAATGTCTACTTTTATTTTATTTTATACCCCTCTGAATAGCTGGAAACTTTTTTTCTAAACCATGAGTATCAATTATTTTAGAAGTTTTTAGTTTCTTAAAAGAGTTGGATGGACTCCTGCTTCTGCACCAGCCAAGTTAAGGGTTTTCTTTTGTTTTGACTTGAAACTAGACAGCTTTTTACTTCTCCTACAGTACGAATAAACTGTTCTTTCACACTGGTTTCCTTGAAGTTCTTCTTTGTCTCATCCATCTATCTGCTCTTGACCTTTTCCAGTCAGCCTGGTCTCTCCTCACACCTTTTGGCTACTGTTATGCTGAGGCCATGTCTTGGTTCCCTCTATGGGAAAGGTAAACAATGGGCAGAAATGTTCCTCAGATTCCCCCAGTAAGTGATCTTTTAGAGACGTGCTCTCCAGCCTGTTTTTCTAATGCTGCTACCTTCTCTCAGTTCTGCAGTCCCTTCCACAGGTCCCTATTACAGCCACATCCCCTCTATCCCCTGCCCCCACACGAACCCCCTCTAAGAAAGATTTGTCTAGTCTCGTTGATTTATTCAACCACTTAGCTCTATCAGTATGGACTCATGCATATTTACCTTATACTCTGGGTTGTAATTCATATATTATCATATAGCTCATTATTTATATAGCCCCAGCTTTGGTCTTTGGGAGCTCTTTCACTGTGGCTTTTTTTGTTTAAGAAATGATAGCTGTTTTAAACAACTGATTTTAGAGAGAGAGAAGTGGGGAGAGAGAAACGTCGATGTGAGAGAAATATATCTACACGCCCCTACTGGGTATGTGCCCTGACCAGAATAGAACCTGCAACCTTTCAATGCACAGGATGATGCTCCAACTAAGCCACACCAGTCAGGGATGGATTTTTTTTTTTTTCTTGAACAGAATTCTGGCACTGTAAGATGCTCCAGGTTCATCTTGTGTACATATTCTCTGCCCCAGCTCTGAAGTCAGCTATTTCTCCAAGGAGCCCTGGTTCCTATTATTATGGGATGGTTTCACAAACCAAATCTTAGTGCCCCAAACTGGGTAGTAAGTGTGCTCATTTTGCTACTACTGGACTATCATTGTTTCTAGCCCCTCTCAGCCTGCAGAGCAAGGAAATAAATGGTATGTATACATGTCTATAAATATACATACACACACACACATATATATATATATCTCATCTGTATCTATATGAAGCTAAACATGAGTTCATACTGATGTCTCCAACTAATCTACTACCACATGGATCATTCTAGCCTGCTCCCCTTATCTGTAAATTCCCATCCCAACTATGAAAACCCTGGCTTCTGCTATCAACTATCCATTTATTAAATTGTTTAATCACCAGCATCCCCATGAGAAATAACTTTATCATCTATATACAATCCCTTCTCCCTTAGCCTTCCAGTCTCCACTCACTTCCAAAGTTAGTTACTCAGCACCTCTTTTTTCCCACTCCCTTCAATGAGGTTACTACAGTTAGATAATTTTGTCTGCACTCCATCCTGGGATCACCTGACCTCCTATATTTGCATATATTAAGTTTCACTCTGTAAAGTTCTATAGGTTTTGACAAAGGTCTAGTGCCATGTACTGTATCATTACAGTATCATACAGAATATGTTCACCATCCAAAAAAAACAAACAAACCCTGTGCTTCACCTATTCGACCTCCTAGGCCTCCCCTCCAAATGCCTGGCAACCACTGATCTGTTTACCGACCTCTATAGTTTTGCCTTTTTTTAATGTCATATAAATAGAATCCTATAGCCCTGGCCAGTTTTGTTCAGTGGTTAGAGCGTCAGTCCATGAACCAATGAGTCGCAGGTTCAATTCTGGTCAAGGTCACTTACCTCATTTGCAGTTTGTCCTGGGCCCTGGTTGGGGTCATGCGGGAGGCACTCAGTCTGTCCATGTCTCTCACACCGATATTTGTTTCTCTCTCTCTCTCTCTCTCTCTCTCCCTCCCTCCCTCCCTCCCTTCCAATCTATCTGAAGATAAATGGAGAAATATCCTCGGATGAGGATAAAACAAATGTAATCATATAGCCTTTTTGACAGACTTCTTTCATTAACAACAGGCATTTAAGATTCATTTCTATTTTTGTATGGCTTGATAGCGCCTTTCTTCTTAGCACTGAATAGTGTTCCATTATCTGGATGTCCCACAGCTTGTTTATCCATTCACCTAATGAAGGACATCTTGGGTGCTCTCTATTCCTGACAATTGCAAATAAGGTTGCTACAAACATTCATGTGCAGGTGTCTTTGTGGACATAAGTTTTCTTTTCTTTTTTTTTTTTTATCCTCACCCGAGGACATTTTTCCATTTTTTGTTCAGGTAGAGTAGGAGGGGGAGAGAGGAACAGAGAGAGAGAAACATCGACGTGAAGGGACACATCGAGTGGCTGCCATCCACACGACCCAACCAGGGCCGGGGACAAACTGCAACCGAAGTACGTGCCCTTAGCGGGAACCGAACCCGGGTCTCTCGGGACCGCAGGCCGACGCTCTAACCGCTGAGCCAAACCAGCCAGGGCATAAGTTTTCAAATCAGTTGGATAAATAACTAGGAGTATGAATGTAGATCATACGGTAAGACTATGTTTAGCTTTGTTAAGAAATTGCCAGTCTTCCAAAGTGGCTGAACCACTTTGCACTCTCACCGGCAAAGAATGAGAGTTCCTGGTGCTCCACATACCAGCCAGCATTTAGTGTCCTCAGTGTTCTGGGTTTTGTCCATTTTAATAGGTGTGTAGTGGCAGCTCATTGTTTTAATTTGCACTTCCCTAATGACAAATGTGGAACATCTTTTCATATATTTATTTGTCATCTGTATATCTCTTTCGGTGAGATGGCTGTTCAGATCTTTTACTCATTTCTTAATTATGTTGTCTCTTTAATATTGAGTTTTAAAAGTTCCTTGTATATTTCTGATATAAGTTCTTTATCAGATGTCTCTTGGAAATATTTTCTCCCAGCCTATACCTTGTCTGTTCATTTTTTCAACAGTGTCTTTCACAGAGCAGCTGTTTTTAATTTTAATAAAGTCTACTGATCCATTTTTTCTTTCATGTGTCATGCTTTTGGTGTTGTATCTCATCAACTAAACCCAAGGTCACATAGATTTTCTCCCAAAAGCTTTATAGTTTTCATTTTACATTTAGATCTGTGAATTGTTTTGAGTTAATTTTGGTGTAAGATCTGTGTCTAGTTTAATTTTTGTGCACATTGAGGTCCAATTATTCTAGTACTATTTGTTGAAAAGAGTATCCTTCCTTCACTGAACTGGCTTTGACCTTTGTCAAAAACTAGTTGACTCTATTTGTATAGATGTATTTCTGGGCTCTGTTTTGTCCCACTGAACTATGTATCTATTCTGCCAATCACAGGTAAGGATTTTAACTTCCAGAAAGCAAAGAGCCAGTGTCCAAGTTTCCTGTCCTCATTAAAATTTTGCCTAGCTATTTTCTGGGCATCATTATCTCAGAAAGGAAAAATTAGGGGTGAGAAGAATGGGTGAGTGGAATCTAGAGGAAAAGTACTATGGCCATTCAATATATCCACACCCTTGGAGTACAGACATAGGAAGGTAAGACCATAGGTCCCTGTCAGAGGAGAGACAACAGTTAGGTATAAAATATCTTCCTACATGTTCTGTGATGGTCTTAATCTCTGAACTGGAAGATATAGATTTCTAAAACCACTTTAATTTTGGCTGTCCCTCTTGGGAGCATGCCCACACCTTTCCCCTCCTCCTTCCCCTCTCCTCAAGCATATCACCTTTACCTTCCCCACTAAGAATAAAAGTAAATAAATAAATAAAAATAAAACCACTTCAATTTAACAGTGGCTATTTTACTGTTAGCGCAGAGTTCTATCCAAACTTTGCCACTAGAATTCCTGACATGTCTGCTACTCATAGTCTTTCTGAGTTTCAGAAATTTTACTAGGATGCTGGGTGAAGTTGGGAGAGCTGTTAGCCAGATGTCTTTCTGAACCAGAAGCACTTAAAGAAAGTATGTGAAAAGGTAAAAAGCTATTTTTAAGGATAATATAAATACCTATAATAAGTGGATTATTTAATATCCCTTTAAGCCCCAAATTTCTTTCTGCAATAACAGTTAAGCTACAGACACTAGCTATATACCTTAGACCTGTGCTGTCCAATATGATAACCACTATTCACACACAGCTATTTAAATTTAAATCTCAGTTCTTCAGTCACGCTAGCCATATTTCAAATGCTCAACAGCCATATATGACTGGTGGCTACCACAGTGGACAGCAGAGACCCAGAGAATTACCCAAACAGCACTGGCTTAGAATCCAGAGTACAGGATCACTTACCAAACTGAACTTCCATATGAATGACCTACAGGCTGTCTCATGATCCAATTTACCTGTTCTCTGCTAACATTACTCCCAAGAGACCAGGCAACTAAATCACACACTAGTGGCTGGCAGAAAGTAGGTACACAAATGTTTGCAGAATGGCAAGTTCTGAATGAATGTCCTAGTGAGGGTGGTAGCAATGCTAACAAATGAAATCTGGGAGTACACAACATAAAAGGACTATTACATAATGTTGCAGATCATTTTAAAAGACTGAGAGAATAATTATGCATTTCAGGCAAGTTACCAGCTTATACTCATGTTACAAAATCCATTGTCAAATCTGGCCCACGGTCTGGCACCCACAGCAGTTGTGAAGGAAAAAAACTGTTTTCTGCCTTCTGTATAAGGAAAACACCCAGCTCTTCCTTACTACATCTCTCCTCCCTTGGAGTTTCATTTACTTTCATACAGAACACTATACAACACTGCACTTTCAAAATTCTGGTCACCAAATGTGTGGGGTTTTTCCCCAAAACAAGCAATTCTCTGTGACATCAGCTGGATGTCTTATAATTGAACTCAATTCTTACACCGTCTAGAGATAGCATCAGATAGTAAAGGGCTCAGTCCCACTCAGAAAAACATTTACTTATGTTTACCAGTTTATTCAAGGAAATTATAAAGGACAGAGATTAACAGGCAGATGGAAATAATGCGTAGGGTAAAAGGGTATATGGAAAGGGGCACAGAGCTTCTATGCCCTGTCTGAGCACACCACTCTCCCAGCACCTCCATGTGTTTGCCAATTCAGAAGCTCTCCAAACCCCAGGTTTGGGGGATTTTTTGGAGGCTTCATCACATACGTGTGATCAATCATCTATTTTTCAGCCCTTCTACCTTCTCAAGGGAATGGGAGTGGGGATGAAAAGTCCAAGCTTCTAATCATGGCTTGGTCTTTCCAGAGACCAGCCCTCATATAGGAGCCATCAGGAATCCATCCAGAGGTGCTTCATTAAAACAAAAGACACTCCTAAGAAGGGCTTCTATTGTGAGTGGCTCACGTATGACAACTTGATTGCTTTATGTGCAAAATCCACAGCAAAAGATTTTGGAAGCATGATTTTTTAGTGCCTGGGCACCTGGTGATCACTGGTTCTGATGCCCATAGAGGGTGGGGGGAGAACAAAAGACAATCCTATATCCAAGGAAATTACAAGGGTTTTCTGAGTTCTGTGCCAGCAACCAGGGGTAGAGACCAATATATATTTTTTCTTTTAGTTCATAGCAGTTATGGACTCTATGAAGGTGATTATCAAGGCTAAAATTAAAGTAATCTGTCAGATCTATCTAAACACTTCAGAATAAAATACATAACACGTCACTGAACAGATACTTCATTGTGTAAGCAAGTATTAATATAACACTCTATAAACTGTACTTGAGGGGGATATCTACAATATAAAGATACTTGGACAAACGTTAGTTTGTTCTTTTTGTGTGTGTGGAACTGTTCCAAACAATGGGTATCTTTACAAACAGAATCTTTCAATCTATCTGTAGGGTTACTGATACTGTCTACAGTTTTCTTATTTGAATATTTAAGAGCCATTAAAAAGAAGTTTGGAGGAAATGATCTACATTTGTCAAAACATTAGATGAATTGTTATGTTTACTTAAAAGGTCAGGTATTGTCAACAACAAAAAATCATAATTTAATTCAAATCAGATTCCCTATTCTTCCCCCTAAAAATTACTAGTTTCATACAAAAATGTTACTATATCTCTATAAAGATGAAAGGTCCTACCTTTTTTGTTTTCTTTACCAAATCCTGAAACCTGTTAAAAAATAATTTTTACTTTTATTCAATTATTCAGGTATCATTAACAAACCAAAGCAGGTTATAAAAACTAAATAATCCTACCAGTGATTTGTAGAGACTGGATTCAGGCTTGATTTTAATGAGTTGTAATAGATCCTGCAAAGTAAATACCTTAGGAAAAAAAGATTAATTAATTAGACATTTTTACATCAATGTTTAAATGATGAATTAGGATGTTTCTGAATATAAGATTAAGAACCATCTTCAGATTAAATAAGATTATAACTGTGCTCATACTATTAAATAAATTACAATAAACATATTGAGATCAAATGGATAAAATATTTTTCTTGATCATGTAATTAGCCTACAAATACTTCACAATGAAGTTGATATGTCTAACAGAAATGACAGAAATGGTTAATGCCTTACAGACGAGAAACACTCAAATATCTGATGAACCAATGACTACATGAGTGAATTCCAGGGTCTTTTAATTGCAATGAATTTTTTTTAAAGTATTATTGTTCCAAAATGTAAACAAACTAAATGTTTACTGTCTTTACAACTATGAATGACTAAGTATACTGAAAATAGTTTTAAACAAACATTTTGGGTAGCTATTCTTAATATATATTCCCAGTATAGTATGTATCATTTACTATATCTACCCTGAAAACATTAATGATTTACTTTCTACTGGTTTTCCTTTAAAAGAAAATATTCTACATGGTATTTTATAGTAGTAAACTAAAACTTTAAGTGTGTGAACTAAATTAATTACTGCTGTAATCACTATATAATTGACCACTGCTCATGCGATAAACAAAATTATGAAATGTAATTAGAGTCTTAGAGACTGATGGACCAAAAAATAATTCCTAATGTTGATAAATAAAATTTGGCTGCTAATGAATAAAGGTAGCATATTTAAATTTTAAGTTTTTCAGATACTAACACTGTTCATGATTTCTCAAAACTTCTGAATATAAAACTTTTGGGCAATTACAGATAAGATAGAGAGTTAAAACATAGGGACAACACAAAGAGTACATGTTAATGTCAACTATGGATTTCAGGTGACAATGATGCCACAATGCAGATTCATTGACTCTAAAAGTATTGACAATGAGGGAGGCTGTGCACACATGAGGGGGGCAGGCATACGGGAACTCCTCCTTTCTGCTCAATTTTACTGTGAACCTAAACTGCTCTAAAAAAATTAAGTCTATTTAAAAAATATAGGGAAAGTTTGTTGTATCTGCCTTTAAAATAATAAAGTGTGCCTATATGTTCAACAGTAATGGAGGAATATAGTTTAAATAATTAGAAAAGGTTAAAACATGTTTTAATATTTGAGAATGCCACAAATTTTTTAAAAATTAATCTATTCCTCACACCTCTTACATGATCACAAAGAAGAGAACTATCTAGAGATAGAGACCATGGCATCGTAAAAAGAGTACATTTTAGACATCTACATTTACAGCCCTGTGTTTCCACCTCGAAATCCTGTGACCTTGAGCAAATCACCCACCTCTGCAGACTCTGGTTCCTCATCTGGAACACACATACAACTGCAGTGTGACCAACCCAGTGCTGAGCTCCCAACAGTCAACATAAATGGCAGTTATGAGTCTTAGTCAAGTATGGGACATAAGATCAATTCTAGTTGTGAAACATTTTGTGATTCTACACATCACAACTTAACAAAAGACTAATGAAAATTCCAAGGAACTGATATATCAAATTGAGTCCTCCTTTGTTGCACTACACATAAGATGACTGAGAAATGGACCAAGTCAGCCAAGGAGCACTCAGCTACTGTGCAGCACTTTACTATCATCTGGGAAAAAAAAACAAACAGGCTGTTAATAGAAAATTCAGTAATTGGAAGGAAAAACTTTACCTTTTCTTCTGCCAAGCCACTTTCTGGAAAGAAAACCGAAAGTGAATACTCATAGCCACATCTTTGCAAGTGATCTGCCACTAGAGAGTTAGAAGCGCCTATTAAGAGGGCGCTCCCTTCCACTGAAATGGATGGGGGCTGCATTTCTCCGCTCAATACAGGCTGCATCAACTCCTGGACAAGCTGCTTTCTCAGCTGTGTCTATCACAAAGACAAAAAAGAGACAAGAAACAACAGGGAAATAACTTTCAGCAGGATTGTTAGCACCAGAGGTAACAGATTTGCTACATGAATTAGAATCCTTCCTTTTATTTCCACAGCAGTTCTAGATCCATGACCAGAAGTTAGAACTTATTTGTTGCACACTTTGTCTTATCCTGTGAGACAAGCAGCCCATGGGTTCTGGCCAAAGAAGCCTGTTTTCACTAGCTTCCAAGTGAACTGGGTGGTTCACCAGAACAGATGTAGACTCTAACTTGTCTTCTCTATGAGCCCATTTCAGCAGCTTTTGCTCAGGAGCAAGTATAAGAGAAAATTCCACTGCCTCCTCCCTTCTCTGTGGATATGAAAACAATACTGGGTGAAACCAGTTTATTGAGCATATAGATCAAAATAAAATTGGGTTCCCCAAAAGAAAATAACATGCAAGAGAGAAATCAGTAAATCCAAAGAAAACTTAAAAAGATACACTTTTATATACAGTATTTACATCTCAAGACATTTTATAAATAAGGAAATTTAGGTTCAAGGTGAGCAATTTTTTTCAAGGTTATAGCTAGTGTTATTATTCCTCTGAGTTTTAAGAAGATCTCTAAATTAACTGAACTACTGGATATTTGTTCTAATCTATTTTGCATATAATCTGGAAACATATCATTGGGTTGAGTTTAAGAGTATATTGCTTACATCCATGGGGTTCAATACTAAATAATATCTAATGTATTCGTATCAACAGAATATAAGCAAGAAACAGAGTTGCTATATCTCCATCTTCTATCCTTCAGCTAGATAGAAGAACAGTATATAACTACCGGTACAGAACAGGATTTATACATTGAAAATCCTATAGTACAAAAGACATTTACACTGAGCAGAATATACATGTTCTGCCTCATCTAATACAGTTCAGTAGCAGAAATAATAAAACAAGAAATGAGAAACTACAGCATGCTCCATCAGTAAAATTGAAAGGTGATTTAATGAGATTTGTAACATACTAAAGAAGTAATATATGTAATCCAGCTTAATTGATAAAAGTGATTCAGGGTGTCTTGCAAACAAGTACTGAAATAGGATAAAATATAAATGAGTGATATAAACAGGTTGAAAAGAAAATAAGAGTAAAGAAAATGAAATTACATTATAGATGACTTCCCATCTGAACAAATACAAAAAGCATGCCATCTAGCACTTGCTGGAAGAACCTGTAAGATTGTCTGGGGGCTTTCCAGCAGCCAAAACAAAGAGGAAAACCCATTCAGAATTAAACTTTGCAATGTCCCTAAAGTAAAAATAAGTAGAGTTATTGTGAGGGGAGGGGAAGTGGAAGAGAAGAGACTTGGGGATCCTCAGCACACCTCTCAGAAATTGACAGATTGAGTGGATTTAAAATATAAAAAAAAATTTATAAAATTTGTTTAATAGAGATCTATGACTTTGTACTTAACCATAAATACAAATTCTTTTCAAATATCCAAATAGAATATGAGTTAGGCCACTAAAACATTCAATAAATTTAAAAAATTAAAAGTCACCCAGACCACTGTCACTGAACTGAGAAAATAAAAATTAGCTCAGATTGCAAGATTAAAACTCTGCCCTGATATTGATCAAGCTGGAATTCCAGAAACAACAGCCAGCAGCAAACAGGAAACATTTCTCCCAAGAATATACGACAGCTATAGACTGAACAAGGCTAACATAATCCTAATACCAAAGCTGAACAAGGATAGCTCAAAAATAATTAGTCAGTGTCAATTCTGACTACAGATCTGAAGCAAAACACTATCAAATCTAATCCAGAAACACCAAAAAAGAAAAATTGCCATGTCCAGGAATGAGCATCCCACATTAGAAGGTGTATTAATGCATTATTCACTACAACTAATTCCAGATGGGTTAAAGTGTTAACTATAAAAACTGAAGCCTTTTTAAAAACTTAAAAGTGGCCCAGTCGGTGTGGCTCAATGGTTGAGCATCTACTCATGCACCAAGAAGTTGATGGTTCGATGCCTGGTCAGGCCACATGCCCAGGTTTTGGCCCAATCCCCAGTGGGGGGCATGCAGGAGGCAGCCAATTAATGTTCTCTCTCATGGATGTTTCTATCTCTCTCTCCCTCTCACTTCCTCTCTCTCTAAAGTCAATAAAGGAAAAAAAATTTTTAATAAATAAAAACTTAAAAGTGAATATTCATGCTATTAGTGGAGAACAATTTACTGATGCAGGAGGCAGCCAATTAATGTTCTCTCTCATGGATGTTTCTATCTCTCTCTCCCTCTCACTTCCTCTCTCTCTAAAGTCAATAAAGGAAAAAAAATTTTTAATAAATAAAAACTTAAAAGTGAATATTCATGCTATTAGTGGAGAACAATTTACTGAGAATAATCAGCAAAAATAAAAATCAATAGATTTGACCATATAAAAATATTACACTAATATTTTAGAGCTAAATTAAAATCGAACACTGAGATAAAAGTATTGCCACTAAAATGGAAAAAAAGATTAATAGTTTCTATTAAAAGAGTTCTTATACATTAATAAGAAAACACTAACACCCTAAAAAAATGAGCAAGAGACATGCAAAACAGACAAATGGCCAGAAAATATGTGCAACCTCATTAATAATTAAAGGAATAAATAGTAAAACAAGAGTTTCTCAATCTTAGATTGGTTTTTAAAATGTGGTGATAATGATATTGGAGTGAGACAAGCATTCTCAAACTGCTGGTGCACTATTACAATCTTTCTAGAACAAGACACTAAGAGCCTTAAAAAGAAATGCTCAGGCCCTTTGATTTGATTTTCCAGAATAAAGAATCATACACGAACATAAGTAATGCCACTTAATCTATCCTAGGCAAAAAATGAGAAATGCAACTGAAGGTTGTGCACACCTGGACATAACCTATTCATCATTTTAAGTTTAAAATATACTTCTGAAATATAAATAGTAATGAAAACACGTTTGAAGTAATCCTACTCCTTGTTGTTAGTTTATATATACAATGTATTCATAAATAATTGCTGCCCAAGTTAAATATATCCAACAGGGGAATGCTACATAAATTACACATACATCCAAACATGAGCCTGGTGCCATTGAAAATGAGGATTTTGAGAAACTTTGAAGGACACAGGAAAATACTCACCATAAAATATTGATCTAATAAGACACACACATACACACACCCTTATGCCAATGAGTGGCTGTGTTAGAGATAACTTTCCTCCTTTATGTCCAGTATTTTTCAGATGAGTTACAAAAACAATGGGGGAGAAGAAAAAAATCAAAACAAGCTCACTTTTCCTTAATTTCCCATTTTACGTGTAAAATATACTTCTGAAATGTATACCGTAATGAAAACATGGCTGAGGTAATCCTATTCATTGCTGTTAATCCTACTCTTTGCTGTTAATTCATTTGCTGCCTGAATGAAATCTTCACACCTTTTAATATATTTTAAAGAAGAAACTTCTCATTGGTCAAACTCTTCTACGGTAAGCAGTACACTTAATGTTTTCTGAGGTGCCAATGTCCTTCCCTCATTCGTGACTGTTAGAAAACCACCTATTCAGGAACCTATAAACCAGTTTCATAAAACAAGCCTAAGTTGACTACAATGTGTTCCTGCTCCAAAGTGACTGGCTCCCATCCTCCTGTCAGTTCCCCGTGCTGGAGCATTTCTGAGCCCCTTCAACGCTCAAGGACTGGAGACACGGTCCCGGGACCACGAGGCACACAAAGCGTCCCACGTCCTCACCAGTCCGTCCACGGATCCCATTCTTTCCCCCACCGAGCCGCGGAGGCTTTCACGGCGGGCTCCGTGCTCAGGGGACCTGTCCCAGTCAGAGACCAGAGAGAGGCCTGAATCCGATACCTTGAGCGTGTCCAGGACACCCCGGTCCTTAAACGTCTGGTACAGCCTTTTGCGCAGTTCGTCTTGACTCAACACGTCATATTTGGGGGGCATGGTGGGTCGAGGACGCTGGCGGGTTACCGGGCAGGCAGGGGGATGTGAATTTCGGGAAACCGACTAGAGCCTGTCTCGGGAAAGCCCGAAAAGGCCGGGCGGGGACGGGCCCTTTAAGGAAAACCAACCAGCGGCTCCCTCCCCTCCGGGGCCCCCTGCGGGGCCGCGCTTCTACCGGGTGAAGCCTCCGGCGACCGCCGGCCGCCAAGCCGGCCCCGCCCACCGCGTCGCGGCGGGGACGAGGGGAATCCCTGCGCTGGGAGTCTAACCTGGGCGACCGGGAAGCGGCAGGAACTAGGATACTCAACGCTCGGCCGCCCACTCCGAACTAGGAACTCTGACAGGAAAACGCACTTCCTTCCTGCGGGTTCCTAACGGTGGGTGGAGTCGTGTACTCGGCGCGAGCGCGACTCTCACCGGCAACCGCAGTGTAGCGACTTCCAGGGAAGAAGCCGGGAACCTCGAGGGCCTAGGATGCGAAGCACCACGTGAGTCCCCACAGCTGAGAGCCGGTCCCGCCCTCTCCCAGAAGCCCGCCAAACCGAGCCATCCTAGTGTGAAGCGTTAGGACGCCTGACTGAGCGCGCCCCACCCAACCGCCGGAAGCCCCACCCACATATCGCGAGAGCGTCAATTCAGAGTCTCGCGAGAGCTGCTCGAGGAGGCGTCCTAACTGAAGCTGTGGAGCGCGGGTCTCCGCCGCGGGAACTCACTGTGTACTTACGTCTCGGCGCAGGTAGGGGTTAGAGCGAGGTTTGGAGGGAGGGCGCTTGGGGGGCGGGCACTCCGGGGGACATCCGGACCCTGCGTGACCCGGTGTAGAGGCTGTTTCTTTATCTTGTTGCGGCCTGGGGCGCCGGGCCCAACCCGACTAGCCCCTGGCCAACTGATACCATCACAGCCCACGCGCTGCATCTGGCAGACGTCCGCCAGCTCCGGGGCTTTGCTCCTTTTCCCTTTCACTAGGTCACTCAGCCAGCCCAGGGCGTCTTAACCCGGCACTGTTGCACTTGGGGCCCGCAAAGCCTTTGTTGTGGGCGCTGCCTTGTGCACTGGTGGCTAGCAGCATCCCTGGCCTCTACCTACTACATGCCAACAACTGCCCCCCCCCCCCCCCCCCAGTTCTAACCGTCATGAATGTCTCCAGACATTGCCAGATGCCCTAGGGAGGCAGAACTCACTGGTTGGAAATCGGCGAGCTAAACTTTGAGTACAGCCGTTTGGCATGCTGTGAGGAAGATAAAGATGAGCTGGGTCCCCAAGATGCTTAAATCTAATTAGAGAAGGAAGCAGCCTCTCCAGAAGCAGTGTGAAAACATAGAGAATTGGATAAGAACTATGGTGCACTGTACACTGGCTAGAGTTTAGAAAAAGGAGAGGTGGTTGAAGATGAAAACCGACAGGGACATCTCTGGGGAAAAACTGTGACTTCATCTGGGCCTTAAGGGATATGATTTGGATGGTGGCTAAAAGAGTAATTACTTGGCACTAACAAAGGCACTGCTGTCCCCCAAACCCATGACAGTGGATAATTGATCACAGCGATTTTTCCCGATCTTTCCTGTTGGCCTCACTTAGACTCAGGTCTTTCTCAGCGCCAGTTCCTGGCAGCCACTACCGGTTGATTAGAACTGGCACAGGAAAGGAAACCTATTTGCCATCCCTAGTCAAAGCCCTCTTCCATTAGACAGCATATCATCTTTACAGATAAGATTGTGCTGTACACCCCCCTTCCCCAAGTGTCTTTTCCCCTCAGTTTCTTCAGTAGCTTTTGTCCAGAGCATTCCCTGGCCTAGACCTCACCCTCTTCCCAACACACACAGTTCAGTTATTGATTCTTTTAAAATGTGATTCCCAGAACTGAGTACTTCCCCAGAGATGAATTATTAGTGAAGAGAACATTGTCTTCTCTTAATGCAGCTTAGAATCGCATTAGCTTTTTTTGACCACTGTATCAGATTGCTGGTACTGAGCTTGCAATAAATAAAAACTTTTGGGTTCTTGTAGATAACTGCTCTTAAACAGGTTTCCTCACCCTATTGTGCGGTTCATTTTTTAAGCCCAAGTACAGCACTTTATTTTGCATCCTATTAAATTCTACTTGGTTAATTTCACACCTAATTCACCTAGCCATGGAGATATTTTTAAATCTTGAGTTTTGCTTTCTAATAAATTCGCGGCCCTTGGTGTGTTGTCTTTGAATGTGATAAGTTGGCTTCATTTCACAGTTATTGATTCAAATGTTGAGCTGGACTAGGTTAAGATCAACATCAAAGGCTCCCCAGAAGACCCAATGCTGTTTACTGATGGTAAACACTTTAACATTGAAGTCAGCTATGAGTTGCCTTCTTTATTCAAATATAATGAGTGCTTCCTGGGCCCCTGCACTGTTGTAGCTCTGAGGATACCACAGACTGTTATCATCCTAGCTCAAGGTCTCTAGTTGTTTTTAGGTGGATACCAAATTACTTCCCAAAAGGACTTACTGTCTCCTGTATTTCCCTTTCAAAACAGAAAATTTAAATTTGGCGTGACTTGATCTCAGTATAACCAGGAGTACATGAATGAAGAATAACCTACTCTATTTTTGTCTAGGGGGTTCACATTAAATGACAATATATAATAAAAGCTCCTAGTATGGTGTCTGACCAAAGAAAGCCATTTAATACATATTTGTGTTGGTGTTTTAATTTCTTTGAAAGTACCCAATTATAGAGTAGGAGATACTCCTCTTTTTTTTTTTTTCTGAAAATAGGAATAAGACTTACCTATGTCTGATGAGATAGCTCTTTTCTGTTCCTGTGACTTTTCAAATCTCACTGATTAGTAGATATATAATCACATTTATTAATCCAAGATAAATGTAGTTTGCTGAGACCTGAAGACTTGTATTTATTGAAATGTCTGGATTTTTAAAAATATTTCCATCTTGTGGTTGATAGCCTGCTTAACCTTGTGTCTTCCACATTTGCTGTTTGAAAATCATTCTCTGAGAAAACTGAAGTTCAGCAGGTCTGTGTCCTCTGTTATTGGTACACCAGGAGCAGTTGACCTTTCTCCCTTGCTTTTTTCTGACTGTAGCCTGAAAAGGCTTTGTTTCTCTTAACATATTCCACACATTTCAGCTCATTTTGGGCATTTGCCCTTCTGATGCTAGCCTCACAGGTTTCTGATGCCAGGTCCCATTTCTCTGTTCCTGACTAGTTAGTGCCCTACTTCTTACATGTCCTCTTTGAGTTCAAGGTAGTCCAGAGTTCCCTGTAGCATCACCTTGATTTCTTTAGTTGTCTCTATCCCAAAAGCAGCTCAAGTCACCCTAGCTACCAGAGACAGCTGCTGTCTTCACCACAGGTAAGAGTCCTGGCTCCCTTACTTTCAGGCGACAAGCCCTGTCCCTTGGAATGGAGGATTTCTTTATGTAAGTATCTTAACCACTTCAGCGGCTTCTCACAGTGAGTCACTTGAACACAGACTTCAGCCACCAGGCCTCTGAGACCTCCCCCACACACACCCCTGCAGGACCTCAGCTGGGCTAGTTAATCCCACCATGCCTCATTTCTGCATTCCCTTTCCTGTATTCCAGGGTCATCTCACACTGTCTAAATTACAGCCTCCTCCTCGCAGCTCCATTCTGCATCGCAGCTCCATTCTGCAAACATTGAGCACTTATTATATACTGGGCTTGGCAGGGACTCAGGCTGGAAAAAACCACAACCCCTGTTCTTTTCCATGCTGTCATTCCCATATTGCTCTAAGTAGCTTCATCTTGACACACCTATGACCTCCCCACTCCAACCTTTCCCACAATGCTTTGAAACCCATGTACCATGGTAAATGAACTCCCTTTGTCCCTACTCTTCACAGAATGCACTTTCTACCTTTTTGCTGACACTTCCTTGAGTATTTCCTTTTTTTCTCATGCCTGCAAGGTTTATTTTCAGCTTTGACATGTGTGTTAGTTTCCTACTGCTGCCATAACAAATTGCCACAAATTTAGTGGCTTAAAACAACACAAATGCATTACATTACAGTTCTTAGCATAGAAGTCCGACATGGATCTCATTAGGCTGAAATCCAGGTATCAGGAAAGCTTCATTCCCTTCTGGAGGCTCTTGGGGACAATCTTCCTTTGTCCTGTCCAGCTTCTGGAGGCCACCCATATTCTGTGACTGGTGGCCCCTTCATCTTTAAAGCCAGAAACGTTGCATCTCGTGACCATCCTGTAGTCACATTCCCCCCTGATGTCCTTTTGTGCCTCCCTTCCACTTTTAAAGCATTGGGCCCATCTAGGTAGTCCAGGATCATCTCCCTGTCTTTAGGTCAGCTGATGAGCAACCTTCTACCAGCAGCTTCAATTCCCCTTTACCTTATAAATTAACATCCACAGGTTCCTGATATTAGGATGTGGACATCTTGGTGGGGGGGTGGCTATTCTGACTACCACTCCATTTTCAAAACTGACATGTTCATTTTCATCCCTTTTCCTTCCCTTATTTCTTTTCTCCGTGAATAGCATTGCATCCTGATACTCTGTTTGATCACCTCGGTTAGACATTTGGAAACATCCTCAGTTTCCCCATTTAATCCATTGCTAAGTTCTGTGCAGCTCCCTCCTCCATACCTCAAGACCCAGTCTTCCTTGGAGATGCTTGAAGGGCCCCTGTTTCAGATTATGGGAAAGTTGAGCAGATATACACAACTCACACAAACACAGCAGTTGCTTTATTTGTATTGTTTGTGTTACATATTGGAGTTTAAGTAATACTTCATGGGTGGAGGGAAGTTAGAGGAGATCCCAGAACTTAAAAAGAAAAAGTTTGGAATCATTGATCTAGAGCTGCACTGTCCAATCCAGTATCCATGAACCACATGACTATTTAAATTTTAATCAATTACAATTAAATAAAATTTCAAATGCTCATTAGCCTCCAGTGGCTACCACATCGGACAGGACAGTGCAGGTGTAGAGCACTTCCATTCTTGAAGAAAGTTCCAATTGTAGGACAGCTCAGTGTTCTAGAGAATGTCTCCCCTTTGCCCACTCCCTAGGCATAGTAAGCCATCAAACATTAAATGATGGTAGATATCCCCTTCCTGAGACAATGTGGTTGTATGGTTTCCTTCCACTTCACCTTTCAGCTTTTCCTTGTCAGAATTGAAGAGTTACTGTCCTTCAGCGGTTTGTGAAATGAAATTCTTGGCAGCTCGAGTTCTGCCCAGCTGTGTACTTTGTGACACAACCTTTATGCAGTATTTCCTTCAGTGCCCGTTCTGTCTATTCTCACTCTGACTTAGCACTATGCTTCTCTCCCAGTCATGGATTTCCATACGGGGGGGGAGTGTGTTAGGAGTGGTAACTTTGATAGATATATATATATATCTATCTATATATATATATATATATCTATATCTATATATAGATAGATAGATAGATAGATAGATATATAGATAATATATATATATATATTCTTCTGCAACTTCTTAAATGTGCGTGGGGAGAGGTGTCTGCCTTTTTTTTTTTTTTTTTTGCTGCTGCTGCTTAAATATTTGTGCTGAAGAAAGTAAGCCCTTCCCTTGGCAAACTCCAGCTAGGAAACCTATTCCAGCAAAAATGAATTATATCATTGTTGACTTGGTTAAAATTTCAAGCTCCCATCCCTCTTCCCCTCACTTTCTCTTGAGAATTATGGCCAATTCTTCTAGTTTGGCATAGCTTTTCTATCATTCCTGCTTGTCTTTGTTATCCAGTTTTACTATTTGGGCCTTTTTCTCATTTTTCCCCTAAAACAGGAACCAACTTTTTCTGTAAAGGGCCAAGTGGTCTCTGTCACAACTGCTCAACTCTGCCATTGTATGCAAAAGTAGCCTGCAAGCTGTAGTGTGGCCACCCCTGCCCCAAATAACATTTTAAATTCTACTTACTTCATCATGAGGCCCTGGCTGCCTACTTTTTTTTCCAGGCATGGCCTTCCAATTCCAGCTGTGCCCTGATTTCCTTTACAAAATGTTGTATTCATTAGGAAATATATTTCAGATTTCTTTGGCCTTTGTTGCATTTTCTGTGTGAATCAGCAGGAGCCCTAGTGAGGCTTGATGAGCCCTGGACTCTGGCACACCTCAGTTGTACTTTCCCCAGGACTGGGACTGTACGCTCCCAGTTAATCAGATTTCCGCCCCATGTGGAGACCTTACTAGTCACTACATCTCTCCTTGCATATGCTCTTTCGAGTTGTTCTAGATAACCTTTACTGAGCTGTGCTGGGTGCGTTACATGCATTAGGTTCTGTAATCCTCAAACTCACCCTAAGGAAGCTATGATTGTTATCTCAATTATCTCTGTTTTACTCAGGACACAGCACTGTGAGAAGGAAACACATTGGGAGTGGGAGATTAAGGACCCTTGGGTGGTCACATTACTGGTAAGTGGCAGAGCAAGACTTGAACCTAGCTTTGTCTGATTCCAAACACCCTGTGCTAAAAATACATACATAAATCTGTCTGTCCATCCCTACATCCGGATTTTGATTGTGGATGCTAAAAGCCACAGAATCATTGATTCCTCCCCATACCTACCACTTTCTCTTAGTTTTATTTCTTCAGCAAACCTATTAATCCTAGTTCCCAGTCCCCCTATTGCCTCAGAACATCTTCCTTTTTGGATTAAGATTTCTTCCATCTTTTCTAGACTATAAAACCTTCTTCCTTTCTCATAAATGCTGTCAGAAGAGGTATATCATAGGCTCTTTTATTTGCAGAAACTTATTATTTGTAGCATACATGCTTCAGGTAGGAAGAAGAAAAATACAGGTAATGGCTGTGATTAAATGCTATGAGTATGTCTCCTTTGTGTAAATGACATGAGGTAGAGTTGTTTTTAGCTTCCTTGGAACCATCTCCTGAAAATTCCTAAGGCAAGCCAATTATTTCTTAATCAGCACCCTTTATTAATGTTTCCAGGTGTTAGTGCTAATGCTAACTACTGGTCCAGTCTAAGTATAGCCCAGCTTGCTCTAAATGCTCTGAACTTTCAGATCATAATAATATTGTTTTTTATGGTTTTATATTAGAGGTCTTCCAATTTCCCTATGAAAATATAGGAGTGGATTCTACAGGGCATATCCCAGGTATAGTCCAAAAGCCATATATCTATGTTAGTATAATGAAAATCAGTCCAAGCTTAGTGGACTTCTCTACAATGTCAGGTTTAAGTTTAAAAAAACAAATTCTAGACTTCCTGTTGACAATTTTTGGTTTTCAGTATTGAATACTAAAAATATGTCTTATTTTCATTTAATTAGGAGCGTATATTGAGGACAATGTCTGGAAGCTTCTACTTTGTAATTGTTGGCCACCATGATAATCCAGTTTTTGAAATGGAGTTTCTGCCAGCTGGAAAAGCAGAATCCAAAGTGCGTATGGAACCTTTTTTAAAAAATCTCATAAGAATTGTCATGCTGTTGTAGATAATGGTGTGATATGATTTTGGAACTGGAGATCTGGACAGATGAGGGAATGGGAATCCACCACAATTACACAAGGCTTACTCTGCAGTCCTACGGATTGGTAGGAACCAGCCAGGGAACGTCCTCTGAATTGTTTATAACCTTCTTTATCAGCATACACTTCAGCATGTACTATCAGGATGCTCTGGGCCTCTTTTCCTTGGTCTTCAGTTCACTGTGCCACCCAACTAGGAAAAGCCACTCCTTAAGCACATGGAACATGGTCCACCCATAGTGGGTCTGGAAAAACAGTCATGGCTGTCTTGAAATGGCATGAAAGCCCATCCTGTCCCAGCAAATCACATTTTTCATCAGGACATACATAGTAAACTCATTTACACCTGGGAGGGTTAAAAGGGACCCTTACTGACATGTCTTCCTGCTGTCCCTGAGACTACAGTAGTTTCCAGTGACCTATATTATCTACTGGCTGGTGCCCACATGCTCTCCTCCCCAGTGACACACTCAACCTCCTTGTTGTCAAAAACGCTTCTAGAAAAACAGGCTTGGTTGGGGAACATGTCTCCATTCAGAGTAAACAGAGACGTAGAGTCTTGAGATGATAATAGTTGGGTGCCTTCCATCTTTCTGTACTAGTCCATGTACTAGACAACTTGTGTCTCTCTCAACCTCCAAAAATAAGCTTTAATGTTCTTTAAGACAGGAAATGATTTTTGAAATTAATTGTAATGCATAATATCCAGTCTAGTGTAGGATACTCTTCAACTATTCAGATCTTGCCACTAAAATAAGATAGAAATTTAAGTGATTATCCTACCAGGTGTTATTTTCCCACATTCCTGTGATCATGCTGCTCATTAAAAATTTGGTTTGAGGCATTTCTGTAGCAGTAGTTGCTTTGTGTTACAGTACACAGCTACTTAAATATAGTTCCTGTGCACTCCTGTGGCCTGGTGATACGTAGAGTAGTGCATATAAAAATATTGCCCTGGCCAGTTTGGCTCAGCAGTTAGAGCTTCGGCCTGCGGACCAGAGAGTCCTGGTTCCTGCTAGGGGCACGTACCTCGGTTGCAGTTTGTCCCTGGCCCCGGTTGGGGTCATGGTGGCAACCACTCAATGTGTCTCTCTCACATCGATGTTTCTCCCTCTTACTTCCTCCTTCTCTCCTTCCCAGTCTATCTGAAGATAAATGCAAAAAAAAAAAAAAAAAGTGTCCTCTGGTGAGGATAAAAACAAAACAAAACTCATTACCACTTACCTTCTAAAAGCATTTCTACAGTTTTCTCCTCATCTCTTAAGATTGATCATCACTGTAAAGTAATGGAAAATGCTGCTGTAAGCCAGACACAAAATACATCTATTTCTCTAAGGATTAAATTATCTGCATCACGGTAAACATGCTTTAGCTGTGTGAGGGATTCCAGGCAACTGGTAGCCTCCCTCCAGCCCTGTCATGGGAGCAGCCTCCTCAACAAAAAGGCGGTATTAGTTTCCTAGGGCTGCCATTATAGAGTACAAAAACTGGGTGGCTTAGCTCAACCGAAGTGTATTATCTCACAGTTCTGGAGGTCAGAAGTCCAAGATCAAGGGTGGGCAGGGCTGTGGCTCCTGGGGCACAGAAGGTGCTTGGGAAGGGCCTGTTCCAGCCTCTCTCCTGGTTTCTGGTAGTTCCTTGGTTTGTGGCAGCAGAATTCCAGTCTTGACATGGCTTTCTCCCTAGGTGTGTGTATGTCCAAATGTGTCCCCCCCTTTTTTCTCTTTTTTTTTTTTATCCTCACCCAAGGACATTTTTTGATATTTTGTTCAGATAGAGTGGGATGGAGACAAAGAGAGAGAGAAACATCGACATGAAACGGACATATCGAGTGGTTGCCACCCACACGACCCAACCAGGGCCGGGAACAAACTGCAACCGAAGTACGTGCTCTTAGCGGGAACTGAACCCGGGTCTCTCCAGACCGCAGGCCAATGCTCTAACTGCTGAGCCAGACCGGCCAGGGCAAATGTCCCCTTTTTTAGAATACATCAGTCATATTGGACTGGAACCCACTCTAGCATGACCTTGTGTTAACTAATTATATCTGCAACAACCATCTTTCCAAATTAGGCAGCATTCTAAGGTACTGGGGGTTGGGATTTCAACGTAGAAATGGTGAGGTGTGCACAATTCAACCCATAACAGAGGTATTCTTTGAAAAATGCATTTTGAAAGTAAGAATTTCATAGGAGTAAGACTGCATTTCAGGTTGTGAATTCCCTCTCCACATCATGGTGGGACATTCCTACCTTCTCCTCCAGCTAAGCTATTTCAGTCTATGTAAAGGATACTCCCAGCTCTGATGGGACTGTCTCCTGCTGTCACACAGGTGACAGACTGTTACAGGGCTTAATCATGGCCTCCTGCCACTCCTAGGTCCCCTGCCATGTAAACTCCTTACACCTGAAAGAGGCATATGCCAACCCTTTAGGAGTACCACCTCCTTGCCTGTCCTCACTGCTCACCAAGGGTTACTGCAGGAAGCCTCCCCCTCACTCCCACCTCGAGGCTTGTGCCAACGACACCTCTCTGTAGGTCTCCTTCACCACCTGTTCAGCCCCAGCTTACCTAAGTTGCTGTCCTTTATCCACAACCTCTTAGGTATTTTTTCCTGTTTTCCTCTAAAAAGATACAAGAAGAGGGTCAGTGGGGGAGAAATGGGGGACATCTATAAAACTTTCAACAAGATAAATTTTTTTTTAAATTAAAAAATAAAAAGCAAAGTTTTTAAAAAAGTGAAGAAATCGAAGTGGTTAGAAGTAAAAAAAAAAAGACACAGCTTCTTGAAAGGAGGATCTATTTCTTTTCAACTAGTTTTTCCCCCCATTATGCTTAAAAGGTTACAGATATTGGTAACTTTTCTTGAACACATTTATTAATATACATTATAATCAGTGTTATACTGTAATTAATACATTAGAATTGGCTGTTTCTATTTATTGAGTTTTAGATACCAAATTTTAAAGTAGAATATGATGTGAAAACACGGAAGATCTTTTATAAGTCTCACGCCAATAACAAGTGAAAAGCAGAAAGTGCCCCCCCCCCGACAAGAACTATGTATAGGATTTACAGAATTAAATTTTGGCTTTCTTGATGCTGTATGGAAGTGTTAATCTGGTGCTGCTCACACTGTCATCTAGGATGATCATCGTCATCTGAACCAGTTCATAGCTCATGCTGCCCTCGACCTAGTAGATGAGAATATGTGGCTGTCTAACAACATGTACTTGAAAACTGTGGACAAGTTCAATGAGTGGTTTGTTTCAGCCTTTGTTACTGCAGGTCATATCCTTACTATTTTAATAAAGATATCTAACTAAAAGTTGGGGTACCAAACTAGACCATGAGACATAGATGCCAGGCTGAGACTGTGGACTTCAAAGTGTCAGGTAAAAATTGCCATTTACGGGGCTACTTTTATTTATTTATTTAAAGGAAAAAAATACATTTTTTTTACTATCATTTTAAAACCAGGTCTCGTATATAAAACTTAAGTTTGTCTGAGCCCTATCAAGGTTGGTTTTACTTTATTTTGTAGATATTTTTAACTTTAAAAGATTATGCTGTCTTTAAGATAAAACTAACCTAACTTTGAACTGGTTGCTTTTTGGTTTTCATTTCTGAGAAAGATTATACCTTAATTATTTCACATATGAGATTTATTATGCTTCATGACATAAGGCAAGAAGATGGAATAAAGAACTTCTTTACTGATGTCTATGACTTATACATAAAGGTATGTATGTTCTGTAACTTTTGAAATCTGGTCATCAAAAAGGGTTTGAACTTTGATAGGGAACCTGCCTGTTGAAGTGACCTCTATACTAATTTTCATCTCAGACTAGCTCTCCCTCAGTCAGAACCATCCCTGGCGGCTCCCTCATCAGGCAAGTCTTCACCATCAGGTTAACACATATTTAGGAAAAGAACTCATGGTCATTTTAAAATCTATTTCATTCTCCTCCTTTTGGTACATAGAGTTGCTTTTACTAGGGAACCCTAAAGAGAGAGAATGTAGTGTTCTCCATAGGAGAAATTGCTTTATAATTTTAATCTAAAATGTTTTCCATCTACTTTACAAATAAGTTACAATGCAGTGAATACCGATCATAAATCAGCGGGTTTATCAAATAATTACCCAAGGAGAATGGTGCCACCGCATTTCTTGATACTTAATTGGAAAAAAATAAAATAATAATAGGACATCAGTGGTGAAACTGCAGTGCTGACAACAGTATTTAATAATTTAAATATTCCGTATTTGAACAAGGTTTTTTGCATAGTAGCACAGCTAATAATCAATATTCCTAGTTAGCAGGACCAAATAAGAATATTTAGCTCTCTTATAAAGATAGACAAAGTGATTAAGGTGGAAAAATTGATAACTCTTTTCCTCTTTAGTGATTACATTTGTTGTTAACAATTTTCTCTGACATGTTATGATACACTCCTTACATTATCTGAGAAACTGATCATTTAGCCTTGTGTTAAAGGAGAGTATTGAAAACCCGAGTTAAAAAATAACCACACGAGAGTCAGTGTGGTATAACTTTTTCTTAACTCTGAGCATATGGCAGATTTTTAGTTTGTATTTTATGTAGCCAAAGAGTCTTACAGACTAATCCATATGTTTACAATTAATGTAAGTACATTAGTAATTCGCACACAGAGTGAATCCTGAAAGTTAATTTTGCTTACATAGGCAACACTTATCATACCACCATCAGTTTTGCCACAGGTATTGCTCAAAATGAAAATACCAAGACAAAAATTTCCATAAGGGGAAGTTGCTATTTAATAATGGTACATTTTCGTGGAAACTTAAAAATGTGGTCTTCAGACTTCTGTTTTGAATGTCTTTGATGGTCTTTTCATTTAAAACTTAAAATAATTTAGAGATCTATGATTTGTCAGCCTTTTTACTCTGACAGACTCACTAAAACTTTCTTCTTTCCTAGTTTGCAATGAACCCATTTTATGAACCCAATTCTCCTATTCGATCCAGTGCATTCGACAGAAAAGTTCAATTTCTTGGGAAGAAACACCTTTTAAGCTGAATGCAGAAAAATTCAGAAATAAACAATGTTGCTACAATGGGGTATACTCAGGAATGTGTACATTGTAACTTACTTGATTAAATAACCTGGAATACTTTTACTTGTAGTCTCAGTTTATCTAAACCTAATGCAATTCCTTTTATAGTTAAAAATAGTACATTCAGTTTCTTAGAATTAACGGTAGATCAATATTTGCTTACGAATAGTTTATTTATAAGGAGTTATTTATCAATAACCTTGAAATACCTTTAAAAATAAGAGAAGCTTTTGACTTTCCTCATTCAGATAGCTTGATCTTGATGAAAAATCCAGAAACAAATGTCACTGTCAAGATTTAGTAGATTTAGAACCGCAGCGCCTGCAGTGGGGAATGAAGCTTGTAGCACGTACATGGACTTATCCATACATCTAGAGATGATATAAAAATGTATGGGCACTGTGCATAGCACTACCCAATAAGCCAAAGCAAACAGCTTTTGCAGTGCCACATGACTCTCCCTAAGACGGGACAGTGATCCTTCTGTCATTCTGGAATCTGGGATCCATGTCTGTAAAATGGGAGACTGGTCCCAAAGTGCCAGGTTGTGTTCTGTTATTTCCTTTCCCTTAGACAGTATCCTAAAGATGAAATGAACCTGTTGGTATCTGTGTTAGTAAAAAGTTGTAAGGCAATTTTAGAGTTGTAAACAGAGAAAAGCTTGTATTACATTAGCATTAACATTTGCATTCCTAGCCTTTTAGGCTGTATACCGGAGGGGGCAGGAGTGGTCTCTTGTACTGTAACAGTGTGGGATCTTACTGTAAACGAGTGAATGTCAATCAAAAAGCAAGTTATGTAACCACATACATTCTATGCTAATTGTGAGCACTTAAATAATTTTGTTCCATTCTGAATAACTTGAGCAAGTAACTCTAGGTTTGGTATTGTATCTTTGTGTGAAGTTGCTATCATAGTTTTTCACCCTATTTATTTGATTTCTTAAATAAAAATGTTTGTCCAAGATTATGGAACTTGAATATCGAATTTTTGAAGTGCTGCTCACCCTGCCATCACTACCATTTTAGTTTTATTTCTCCTATCAAAAGTCTGCAAATATATATATATATATATATCTTAACCCATTTTACAGAACTTGGATCGCCTGAGTTAGGTGCTGAAGCTTTGGGAGCAGAAAAAGATATTCAGCTGAAAATCTAGGAGTAATTTCAGCCATGCTCACTAGAGACCCAAACACATATTTATTGTATGTAGTTTGCTCTGCCCTCAATGACCATATAGCACAGAGGGCTGTGGTGAACACAGCCAGTGTTTTAGCAGAAGTTCTGGGGTGGTGACCCATCCACTCCTGGCTCAGCCACACAACAGCGGTGCCCTAGAAACAGCATTCCTTTTCTCTAGGCTTGTGAGGGTGAGATGAGAACAAGTAACAAGAGCCCTGTGTGAACATATTACTGTAGTTAAGTACCAAATTTCATGTATGCCTGCATCTTTGAAGGAGCTCTAAAGCAAGTCCAGCGATGAGTGTAGGAGCTGGTGGGTGGCTGCATGGGGAAAGCATACTGGGCACAAAGGTATGGAAAAAAGCAGGCTGAACACGGGGATAGGACAGCTGATGGGACAGAAGCAGGACTGGTGTGAGGGGAAAACCACAGGCTGACAAAAACGCTAGAGTCGGAAAAGCATAGATCTGGTAGTAGCTGTTACTGAAGGTCGCAGAACACAAAGAGCAGTGAAGGGACATCAGTAGCACCCTGGGCATTAGGCTCCACTGAGCACAGGTATTTAATTTGTAATTGTTAGCACTCCCTAAGTGATCCAAATAAAATGCACCAATCTGGTTTTGTCCTTTCCTAGAAGGCTGCATTGTTGCCCCATTTTCCACATATGCAGAGACCCATCAATCTCTGCTCTGTCCAATATACCTGTGATCTTTTTCTTCAGTCACAATAGCACTTCCTGGTTGGCAGTCCACAGTGGTGACTTCTCAGAATCCACAGGTCCATTTTTCTACTTAACATTTCACTGTCCCACAAGCCACTGGTTTTGTGAGAGAACTGGCGTCAGTGTCATACTACAGTGAAAGCGTACGCAAGTTTTTATAGAAATGGAAAACAAGGTTTTCTTTAAAGACAAGGAACATCTAGGATGTTTTAACTTCAACTAGGAAATTCTTCACAAGGGTGAAGGAGGTGACAACTTTGAAGTAACCCATTGATGAAGTACCTTCCCATCTTCCACACAGCCTGCTATAACTGCCATCTCCGCAGTCAAATGTACATTTGTCCATTTTCTGAGGTCAGTAGTTTGCCTTTAACAGCGAACTCCAAGGCTTTACATTCAGGCAGCATGGAAGCACAGTCACAGATGGCCCAACACCGAGTGGTGAGCAACAGTACAATAGCAGGCCCCTCCTGGAACCAGTCCTTTCACTTGCTTTTGGGGCTCCGCAGCTATTGGCGCCCCTCCTGCACCTACTGCTTTGTTCCCGAACTCTAGTTTTTCCCATACCTCTCATCTTTGTATAGGTAACACCAACCTATTAAATCACCTTTATTTTCTTCAAAAGAACCAGATGTTCAGCTATGTTATGCTGCTGGTTGAAAAGCTTTTCCATCAGTTATTTGTAGTTTCTTTGAAGGACAAAGCTCTTCAGTCAGGTTTTGTTCTTAGTTATCACATTTCAGTACCATGTTTGCTATATTAACCCTTATTTCTTGGATCCCTTTAAGTCATGATGTGAAGCTGGATTACTCTCCCTTCTGTCAGCCTGTCTACACATATGAAGACCTATTCCTTTGATCATTTTTGCTGCCCAACTCTAGACCACTTGAATGCCAACTAATCTAATCTTTAGTTATCTCAAAATAGATTCATTGAAAAGATGCTTAAAAGTTTAAGAACACTAGCCCTGGCCAGTTTGACTCAGCAGTTAGAGCATCAGCCTGTGGTCCAGAGAGACTCAGGTTCGGTTCCTGCTAATGGCATGTACCTCCGTTGCAGTTTGTCCCCGGCCCTGGTTGGTCGTGCGGGAGGCAGCCACTCAATGTGTCCCTTTCACGTCGATGTTTCTCTCTCTTTCAATCTCCCCTTCCCACTCTATCTGAACAAAAAATGGAAAACTGTCCTCGGGTGAGGATAAAAAAAAAAGTTTAAGAACACTAAGGTATTATTAGTAAAATCTATATAAGTAACAAAATTACATTTTGTAAATACCTATACACACATTATGGGCCAAATTGCTCCTCTACCCCCCAAATTTATATGTTGATGTCCTAACCCCCACCCAACCCTCAGAATGTGGCTGTATTTGGAGATGGGGGCCTTTAAAAAGGTGATTAAGTTAAAATGAGCCCATTTGAGTGGGCCTAACCCAATCTGATATCCTTGTAAAAGGAAGTTTGGACGTAGATGGGGAAGAACACAGGAAAAGTCATCTGCAAGCCATAGGGACAGACCTCAGGAGAGGAAAGGTCATCTGCAAACCACACGGAGACCTCAGGAGAAACTAAACCTACTAACACCTTGATCTCGACTTCTAGCCTCCAGCATTGTGAGAAAAGAAATTCCCATTGTTGAAGCCACACAATCTGCACTTTGTTATGCCAGCCTAACATGTTATGCCAGACTAACAAATTAATACAATATGCTTTTCTTATGTTCTAGTTATCTAGACCAATCTGTTAATGGTGGATTCCAATTTTATTTTTTTGGGCGGAGGAGGTGGGTTTTTTTTGGGGGGGGGGGGGGGCGGGCGATTATAAATAATAAAAACTAGAGCTCTAACCTGAAAATATGAAGACATTTCATTTCTCCAAGTTAAAAATGTTAAAATGTTTTCCTTATAGCCAAATTGCTATGTTAGGAAATAAGACTGAAAAGCTTAGCTTAGTCCTGGTCAGTGTGGTTCAGTGGTCTGTCACAGCATCAGCCCATGCTCGATTCCAGGTCAAGGGCATGTGCCTGGGTTGCAGGTTCGATCCCTACCCCAGTCAGGGTGCTTGAGGGAGGCAACCAATGTCTCTGTCTCTCACATCAATGTTTCTCTCCCTCCCCCCCCCCTCCACTCTCTCTGAAAATCAATGGAATAAAATATAGTCGGGTGAGGATTAACAAAATAATTAAAAAGCTTAGCTTTCTGTAATGATACTTTTTTTCAGTGGTTTCCAATGAGTGGAGTCAGGGTAAGAAATATATCTATTTAGCTTCTCAAAATGTACCCTTGCCACCCCAAGCATGTCCTTTGATAACCCACCGCTCCACAGCCAGCATCCTGTCTTCACTGACACACAGTCTAGGCATTGTTTTGCCTCTGAAGGATGGAATTGGCATGAATGCATAGCACATGAACTTTACCCACAAAAGACCACCATTTGCTTTATCAGTAAGTCTGGTCATTGCAGCAAGGTGAAAAATCTTGAGAGCAAATCACTAAACAATGTTCAGTGAAAGAGAAGACACTAAATAAATACACAACCAAATACAGATGTCCTCTCTTACCCTCACACAAAGTACAATCTTTCTTCGCATTTCCTCTATGATAAAGTTGGCTTCTGGGGTTGGGCGTGGCAAACGTGTGGCACATAAATGACGAGCGATTACTGGTGAGATCAATTCTGATATGTAGAATGAAAATGTGAACAAATAATTTTAAAGAGAATGAGGAAGTAATCAAATCACTGCAGCGCAAATAAATGCATTCAATTTTAATCTTTAATATCTAACATTATTGCTTTAGGAAAATTTTCCCCTGAACCAGGAATATATGCTAATTACATAAAAATACAGACATATAAAAAGTAGTTCTCCATTTTCCCAGGAAAAGAACAATGTTTTCTAGAATACTCAAGTGTTTTGTTTTAATCACAATTTAAAGTCTTGATCATCTCATTAGCTCTGTAACTTACACATTTAAATTAAATGTTATTAGACAACCGTTACAATTTATAAATGTAAGGTGCCATTATTGAGTAAATAGATTTTTCGGTGAATGTGTCCCTTTTCCCACCCACTTATGAAGGAAGCAGCAATATGGTTAGTTTAATTTTATGAGTACATGATCTATTGCTTCAAACCCTAATTCTCCTCTCCCCCGTGTTTATTCATGTGTACGTGTGAGCTGATTAGAATGCTTGGGCAACCTCTCTCAGGATCAACAGCAAGAGGAGCTAGACTTGGGTTTTCGGTGCAGACTAACGGTGTCTGTCTGAATCAAGTGATCCGACCTATCCTCGGTGGCAAGCACTCTTCGAACTGCTTCTTCAAAGGCCGCTGCAACATTCGTGGCATCTTTTGCACTTGTTTCAAAGTAAGGGTAGTCGCCGTTGTCCCTGCACCAGGCTTGGGCTTCTTCTGTAGACACCTGCCGTTCACTTATGTCAATCTTATTACCCAAAATCACAAAAGGAAAACTTTCAGGCTCTTTCACATCTGCATAATATATGAATTCTTTCTTCCAGTTATTCAAGTTCTGGAAGCTTTGAGAATCATCAACACTAAAAGTGAGCAGGCAACAGTCAGAACCTCTGTAAAAGGGCGTCCTCAGACTTCTGAATCTCTCTTGACCGGCCGTGTCCCAAATCTGCATAGTAACTAAATGTCCATCTACCTCTAAATCTTTGTTTAAAAATTCCACACCTATTGTATGGAAGAGCTGGATATCAAACTTATTAGTCACATATCTGTTCATAAGAGAACTCTTCCCAACTCCACCATCTCCAAGGAGAATTACTTTAAAAAGTGATGATTTTCCTGCCATTATTAATCTGAAGATCTCTGACTTCACAACTCTGTAAAATAAAAAGGTACCATTACATTCCTTCATACCTATACACTACTCTACACGATTTATGAATATCAGCATTTAAGGAAAATGAACACAGAACACCAATTCCTTTCTGCACAGAGAATACCTAACAGTAAGAGCTATCATTTACTGCTCCAGGCACTACCCTACCATTACCCCCTGTGACAGCTGCTGAGGGCTCAGTCTTGCCCTTCCTTGAGCCTCAGCTGACTGAAGCTGGCACTCAAGGCCAAGTCTGACCCCAAACACCCTGCTCTCAACAGTTTCTCTCTACTCACAATAAGCCCTGCCACCATTTGTTAGAGGTGCAGTAGGAGACTGAAGTAGGCAAGTCTGCATGACAACTTCAAACAGCCCTATGGTGACACAGTAACAGTGTTCACCGCTGGCTTTCCTCTCCTGCCAGGGGAAAGTTTCCACCATGACCCCCCACTTCTCCTCCAGTGCTATCACCATAGGAGATGGTAACCAGGAAACCAGAGGCAGAAGCTGACTGAATTGGCAGTGAACAAAAATTGCCAACCACTGAGTAAATGAACTCTATTCTCTTCTTTGGGAACACTACTTTGAGTCTGCCAAAATTAACGTCAACAGCAATGGAATTTTAAATACAATATTGTAATACATCACATTCTACCCATAAGACTCATTTGGGCAGTTCCAACTTAACAAGCGCCAGCCTGTGCTGTTACTTGTGTGTTTCAAGGGGGAATGAAGTAAACCCTTGAATAAAAACATGGTGTTATGCGTACCCCTTAGGGGAAACCCTGGGGCAGGATTAAAAACCTTCCTATACTATAGGCAGCAGCTCATTTATAGACAAATGCTTCTAAGTACTGTTCCTATTTAAATTTCTATTTTAATTCTTTATTATGGAAAATTTCAGATATCCTCGAAATTTCCCAATAATGAGAATAATATAATGATACTCCATGGGCCCTAAACCTAGCTTCACCAAGTGTCAACTTATGGCAAATCCTGTTTCCTCCATAACTCCCCATTCACCCTTCTCCTCAGTTATTTTGAATCAAATTATATCACTTAATCTGTAATTATTTCAGTAGTAAGTGGCTTTTAGTATATTAAAATTTGTAAAAGAAGTCAACCTTTAGAGTAGCACTAACAGAACTTTCTGCAATGGTGGAGATGTCCTCCATCTGCAGTGTCCCATGTTATACTACTAGCCACGTGTGGCTACTGAGCACTTGGCATATGGCTGGGGGGAGTTAGGAACTGAATTTAAATTGTACTTAATTTTAACTAATTTGAATACCCATATTAAGAGAGCCAATAGCTCTATTGGACAACACAGCTCTAGCACAAAAATAGAAATTTAACATGATAAGAGATATTGTGAATCCCTCAATGGGAAGGTAATTAAGACATGAACAATAATTGGGATATTACTAGGATGAATTTGCAAAATCACTGCAATAAACACTGTCTGGCTATCTCCTCGTTATATGCAAATATGCCCAATGTAATGTAACTGAACACTTCCTATAACATGAAAGAATTTTGTATTTCCAACTACATGCTATACTGTTCTGGTAAAACCTGTAGCAATTTGCCCCTAACTACAACTGGCTCTTTTAAATTACTACTGTAGTAATTATTGCTATAATTAATACAATTTAAATTGGCCAATAAAAGCATGAGGCAATCAAGGTATACTTCTTGGAGACTTTTGACTGCCAATGGGTCACTGTGCCCAATGCCCAGACTAAATTAATGTTATATAGGAAATAATCTCAAGCCTCTTAATGTCCTGATATATGCAACGATGTGCTAAATTGGTTCCTTTGTTTAATTCTTTGCAATCTTGCTTAAACAACTTCAACTTAAGAAAAAGGGTTAACAAAACTGAAAAAGCATACCAACTATTCTGACTTAGGGAAAGTATCTGTTGAATACCTCCTTAACATTCTTCAGTAGTTCTCCACAGATTCAAGTTTAAGTCCAACTTCCAAGGCAAGACACTTGGCCCTGCTCCCCATTCTTGGCTTCAGTCATTCGGAAAAGCACAGGCAGATAGAACTGAAATTCAATTCCATCTGCCCAGCTCATACTCTCCCTTGCGTTCGCCCTGGCACACATTGTTCCCTCTGCTGGTGATCCCACACCACTTCACCTAACTCACCACTAACTAACCACTGGGCCCTCGGAATTGCTCAGCATGGTCACCACCAACACTGGAAACCTTCGCCAGAAGCCCCCACCCCAAGGTTGTTCCTTTCGCACAATGCTAAGATATGTGAACACAAAAGTTCCACATTGTGTTAAGAGGGTGGAACAGATGTGTGTAATTCTAGTCTGTCATTTATCCCAGTAGTTTAATAGGTCTCTAACTGCCTTACCAGCCACAAAGTTTTACTGTACAACTAAATTGTTAGAATCTCTACATCAAATCATAACCCAGATTATACAATCTAACAGCCTCCACTCAGAGGACTGGTTGCATACATCTGCCAAATTAAGTCTTAGAAGTTCCATGGGATTTGTCATTTATAATTTTACCAAGACACATTGACAGTTTTCTTTTTTCATAATAAGGTGGGATTTCCTAGTTTGTGCCATTATTCTGATAAAACAAATTTGGGGAATGCTAGACCCACAAACCAGAAAACAGGATACAATGTTTACATTCCCATCAGTAATTTGGGGCCTTCCAGATACCCTATTTGGAAGTATTGTTGGCATTTGCTAGAACAGCTAGTACATACACATCTCTCTAATTCTAACTGTAGAGTTGTATATAAACATACAGGGTGATACAAGTGTTGTATAAACCATCTCATATCCCAATGACACTAACAGCGTTGGTGGTATAGTGGTGACGTAGCTGCCTTCCAAAGACACTAACAAAAAGTAGCTTCATGCAATCTATATATTAACATAACCACAACGGGCTTACAGATATTAAAAATGTTTCCTTGTACTTTTCTAAAAACAGTAAAATCCTTTGAAACTTCTTTAGTGTAAGCTGAATGGATAAAGGTATTCTACTATGTTATTTTCAGAACTTACCTTAAAATATAATGTCAAGTCTTTTATAATCCACAATTTGGAATGACTACCCATTTCACCAAGTTAATACACAATTTTAGCAATTCAGCTAAATTCTATAAGGAAATCTGAATAAGAAAAGCCTACTACATAGGCCATAAATCTCACCTTAGTTGTTCAGTTCAAGCATCATCATTATCTGCAAAGAAAAAATGTGAAACTCAGCTTAGCAATGAACATTCAATTTGTTTTCATAATTTTAAGAGTAAACACAAGAATTAAAAAAAAATATATCTGACTTCTATTAGCAGCCAAATTCTTAATTTAAAAGGAAAATCACACCTGAAAGCTGCCCATGACCCTTCTCAGCCTGAAAAAAGTCCTAGAATCAAATACTACACTTTAATCAGTTTTTTCTAGAAGTCTTTCACCTGCCCACCCTTCTTTTCTAAGTTTCACACTCAGGCAGCTATAAAATCTTGTTAAGATGAAATATAAAATATTTCATTCATTCTTTAACATTTGCCCAAATTCTGAGTGGCTTAGAATAATCATATTCCAGAGAATAAAATAAAGCTAACACAAATAAGGAAAAAAGAAGGGCCACACGAGGGAGGGGCACAAATGGGATATAGGAAAAGTAGGTCTAAGGCAGCAAAGAGTGTCATGAGGCTTCTTTCCAGGCAGCCAAGGTCAAGGTGAAAACTTTCTTGTGACCAAATAAAAGCCCACTGTGAGGAAGGAGAACTGGTTCCTGGTGTCGAAAGCCAAGAATGCAGACCAACTGGCAAGCTACTTGACATCTTGAAGCTCACCGGACAACTGTGACAATAGTACCTACCCCTCGGACTCTTGGGAAGATTCACTCAGACGTGGACAACAGGGGGAAGTGATTCACCACTGCACCAGGCTCATCACAGGAGTGTAGGAAGTTTCTGTGGAATGAATACAAGAAGTCTTTATGGGCAATATTACAGAAAGGCTTCTTTTATGGCCATTTCTTCAGTCAAATTTCAGTAGGAGTTATGGGCAGAAAAAAGATAATTACGCAGGCAGACAATAGGAAGACAAAGGATACTAGCCCTAGAGATCAAATTCAATGTGAAAGTTTCCCAGTGATGAATGTGGAGCTGTGCTCAAGTACTAGCCTCTCTTTCTCAACCAATGATTTCAAACCCCTGTCCCCCTTAAAGTGAAGGTCATTTTTGTGGCACTTACATATAGCAGTTCTTAACTTAATGAGACTCTTCAAAACCTTGACATTTTGTAGTTAAAGATAAAATAGTAATAATACAGGCATATCTCAGAAATATTGGGGGTTCAGTTCCAGACCACGACAATAAAGTAAATATCACAGATCAAGTCACACAAATTTTTTTAGTTTCCCCGTGCATGTTATGTCTACACTATACGGTAGTCTATTAGGTGTGCAATGTCATATGTCTAAAAAAACAATGCACATACTTTAATTTAAAAATATTTTATTGCTAATAAATGCTATTTTCTGAGCCTTCAGCAAGTCATAATTTTTTTTTGCAAGTAGTTGCCACAAATCTTCATTTTGTAAAAAACTGCAATATCTTCAAAGTACAATAAGGCAAAATGAAATAAAATTAGGTATGCTTGTAATAACAACACCAACATTGACTGAGCCCTGGTAAGCCATTTACTCTGCTGCACTTCATTCACTCCTCACAAGTCTTCTATCCCTATACTGCAGATGAGGACACTGTCTCAGAGTGGTTATGTACCTTCCTTGGTCAAGGGCACATAACTAGCAAAAGATGGAAATGAGGTAAAAATGGAGCAGGCTACTTTAAACCCCAGCCCTTAACCAGTAGGCTCAGCTGCCTTTGCATTTATTTCTGAGGGTTTTCCTGTTGCTGCCGTGGGTATAATGAAAACACGCAGTTGCAATGTGAGAGTCTTTTGAATGCTCACTTTATTTCAAGATCTGCACAAAACCAAGTTAACCTGACAGAAGTAGCAGTAACATCTGAGTGTGCCTGTTTTATTAGAGTTTCAATAGCTTAAACATATTTTAAATGAAACATAAAGCAAATGTTTGCAGACTTAAAAGCACCACCCCAGAAGCCTAGCGTTCAGTGGACTGGGTGGGAAAGCAGTTTTTCAACAAGCAGTTAGTGAGTGCCTATTGTGTGCCAGATGCTGAGGATACAAGCCACATCCCGTCTCATGGAGCTGGTAGATGGGGGAGGTGACAAGCCATGCAAATCCAATGTGGTAAGTCCTACAAATGAGAGTCTATACTTGGTATAGAATACAACTATTCAGTACTAGTTGGTTTAGCTCAGCGGTTAGAGAGTTGGCCCACAGACAGGGTTTGATTCCTAGTCAAAGGCACATACCTGGGTTGCAGGTTTGATCCCTGGCCCTGGTCGGGGTCGTGCCAATCAAGGTGTCTCTCTCACATGGATGTTTCTTTCTCTCTCTCTTCCCCTCCCTCCTTTCCGCTCTATCTAAAATGAATGGAAAAATATCCTCGGGTAAGGATGAATAAAAAATTAAGAATACAACTATTTGTATTCAACAAAAAACCAAAAATAACTTCAACAGTGTAGCATCTCCCCTGGTGAGACATGTGATGGGTAAGCCTGCGGCTCTCACAGTCAGTCCTAGGACCATTGTGTGAGCATCTCAGGGTAGCTCAGAGCTGTGTGTAACTCCAGCCACCAGGGGGACATCAATTTCACACACCATGATTCTGTAACACAGCCAGCTACTTCACCTGCAGCTAGGTTAAAGAAAACTTCTAGGGCCAGAGGAAAACTGGCTGTGTCAACAGTGTTGGTACGAGACAATCTACCAGTTTCCAGTGTGGGCTGTTCCAAAGCAATGTCTCAATGATCATTTTACCTGTATTCTGTCCTTAGCATACAGCCTCACCAAGGTCGGCTTCCACTACAGGTGGATTTGACCTAGGGCAAGTGGGTTTGACCACAAGCTAAGCTCGGCAGGAGAAAACAGAAGAGAGGAGGGAACCAGGGAGAGGGACCAGTCCAAACCATGGCCCTGTCAACACAGCCTGGAATGTAATGGGAGCGTCCAAGGTAGACCCAAGAGCTGGAGTCCAGAAAGAGAAGAGGGTTCTATGCAGATGGGACTGGAGAGAAGCCTAGAACAGGCAGGGCCATATAAGCTAAGGAAGGATTTCTGGAAATTACCTAAATGCCTAACTGGAGACATAGGACTGTAGAAATATACTGAGTGATAAACCCAAATAGTAACACACCGTGATCACGCTGTGTAAAAGCTTACAGATTTATATTAAAGTCTGTAAGAAAACCTACTAGAATAATCAATACCAAGTTCAATCTTCAAAGTTCTGATGTGGTTACAAAGTCATACTTTTTTAAATATCAAAAGTATATAAATCAATCAAAAGCTTCATTTTCACTTAAAGTCCAGCTTGGCACTTAAGTGAAATTAAAATCATGTTTTAAATTTTCTTTAAATACTGCTATCCACCAGGCCTCAAGGACAACTGCTTCCTAAATTTCTGTAACTCTGATTATATTAAAAATAGCTCAATATAACACCAAAAATATAAAAGCAACAACACAAAAAATAAGTAAATTGAACTTGACCAAAATTAAAAACGCAGCCGCTGTTGCTCAGTGGTTGAGCGTCAACCCATGCACCAAGAGGTCACCGGTTCGATCCCTGGTCAGGGCACATGCCCAGGTTGTGGGCCCAATCCCCAGTGTGAGGTATGCGGGAGGTGGCCAATTGATGTTCTCTCTCATCGATGTTTCTATCTCTCCCTCTCCCCTCCTCTCTCTCTCTCAAATCAATAAAGTAAAAAACAACACTTGTGCTTAAAAAGACACTGTCAAGAAAGTGAAAAGACAACACAGAATAGGAGAAAATATTTGGAAACCAAATATCTGATAAGAAGCATATATCCAGAATATATAAAGAACTCTTACAACTCATCAATAAAAAACAAATAACCCAATAATAAAAAATAAAAAATAGCACTATTATTCATAATACCCCAAAGTAGAAACAACTCAAATGTCCATCAACTGATGAATGGATAATAAAATAGGCATATCTATATAATGGAAGATTAATCAGTCATAAAAAGTAATGAAGTACTAGGACATATAACATGGATAAACCCCAAATACATTATAAGTGAAAGATGACAAACATGAAAGGCCACATCTATGATTCTATTTATATGAAATGTTCAGAATAGGCAAATCCATAGACAGAAAATAGATCTGGATTAAGTAGGTCACTGGCAAGAAAGAAAGTGAACCATGTTTTCAGCAGATAGCTCAAAACTAAATGTATGTCAACCCTTTCCTTTTTATAATACTATTTTTGCAGCTCTTCCATTGTGGACTTTGATCTTGCACTATCAATTGTTTATGGATAGTTTTACCAGTAGTAGCCTATTCTCTGGCCTTCTCCAACTCCTTGCAATAAACCAAGAGGGAGTCAGACTCAAGCATGGAGAATATAAATCTCTAACAGGAATGTTTAATTAAGGGTAGACATTTTTATTGGTCATGGAACTAATGGTCTCCATTCTTACAGATAACTAAACCCACTTATTTCTTCATTATTTCTATTACATAGGATTTTGAGCATGGAGTTCAAAGAGCTATCCAACCATGCTTACAAGCCTGTCCCAATTATATCTCTACAAGTCACCATCCCCAAACCTATTACAGGCATTTACCGTCCAGCCGTTGCTCAGGCCCTTATCTTGGCCTCAGAGGCTCCTTCCTACACCTGGACAGCTTAGTCATCCAAAGGCTAATAATTTAGATCCCTCATCCAAGAACACTTCTATGCCTCACCTTCCTAATCTTTCTCTTTGCTCTAATCATTTCCACCTCTATTACAGCTCTCATTCACTTACACTCTAACCAGTCAGCTGCGTGAGTCTCTTCAACTCCCTGGAGGGACACACCACACCTAATGCCATCATTCATTTGTCCTTTTTCTGTTCTGCAACATCTTATAAAATCTTTACATATGGTGAGGTACCAGAAAGTAAATTACCTCCTCCTTTATTCCTGTTATTCGATTCTTATTTTTCTATTTGTATTTTCCATACTTACAATTCTTTGTTTCTCTAATCAATCAGTTCTTCCCCCATTCTATTTTTGAGGTCTATTAAAATACATGGTAAGGGACAAAAAAATTGATTCTTACTTGCAAGTCTAATGAGAAAACCACTTTAAAATAAGTACTATTTATTGACTACAACAGGGAACTGGTGGTTGAAAAAAAAAAAAACATTCTTCTAACAAACACCTAAAGGGAGAATGGATTGGGTTTGTAAAATGCTTTTCTCAAAATTTCAGAGTTTGAAACACATGCTCTGTGATCCCTTGACTAGTTCTCACTTCCAAACACTTAAGTGAATTTATCATTCTTGGTTTAAATGTAAGAATGTTGTTGTTTTTGTTTTGGGTTTTTTCTCCCCGAAATCACACATACCTGTTGCATTCACCCTGAATGTCCTAATTAGAGGCATACCACTTATTTCATTTCATGGCTTGAGAAACTGAGGCTCAAAGAAACTAACCAATGAATAAAAGCATGGATAATCTCTAAATTATTTCAATTTTTACTGGAGCTATATTTATTTCCCTACAGTATCTTAATATAGGTGTCTAACTTACCTAATTAGTTCCACTCTTTGTTTCTAGTCTTCCTAAAATGTATAAGTAAAAGGCAAATCAAGGAAGTCATTAAGTCTATCTCTATTACAAGAGGTCTACCAGGAAACATAAAAAGAAGAATTAAGCAAAACACCAAGGAATACACCAACTTGTGCTGTCCAATATGGTAGTCACTAACCACAAGTGGCTACTGAGCACTTGAAATGTGGCTAGTCCAACTGAGGAACTGAATATTTTCTTTTATTTCATTTCAGTGATTTACATTTAAA